TGCACGCAGCGCAAGTACGGCGACGAAACGATTACGTCAAAGTCGGCAACACCACGCAGCTGCTCAGCCACACGCCTGTCCGGCACCACCAAGGGTTTAGGGTCTGCAGTGTTTAGGGTTTAGGCTCGAAACCACCTCTTTCAGGAGAGGGAATCTTTCGGACACCCGCCAGGGTTATGATAACTAGGGTTTAATCCCTCTCAATGCTCTATGAGCCCCTACCCCAACATCAGCATCAACTCCCCCCTCCCCACCCCAAGGAGCAGCCATTGATGTATTACTCCTACTTGCTGAGTACCCTGGCCCAAAACAACGGTTGGTAGGATTGTATATAACCCCAAAAGGTTAAAGGTTATCTACTCAGCAACGAAGTACTGCATCTTGATATGTTCATGCCCATGATCGTCATGATCATCCTTGCTCGTGCTATTGCGGTCGCTAAATTGACGGTCATTGCTCGCGTGAACGTATATGCTAAGAGAAAGGTGTAGTTCATGCATCACGTGTATTTTGTACTTTACATTACACCTATAAAATCCCCCCCCCTCAATGTTGTGAATCTTTATTGGCCAGGGCCCATGGGATTCCTAGACCCAGAAGTAACCGAGGAACATAAAGGGTGCCTTTTTCCGTTTAGTAGGGGCGGTTTCAGGGCACCTAGACCCCTCGAAAAGGGGAAGACCTACTCTGGATTCTAGAATTCTGGGTTGGGATGTTCCCCCTCATTATGCTAACAGTCCAGTGCGCGTGCAAACGGGGACCGCTAAGTGATTTCTGCCACTTGCCCCGCTTGCCCCACTTGCTGTGCTCCCTTACCGAAAACCACTTTGCCCCACTTGCCCCACTTGCCCCACTTGCCCCACTTGCCCTGCCTTAACCGCTAAGTGATTTCTGCCACTTGCCCCGCTTGCCCCACTTGCCCCACTTGCCCCACTTGCCCCACTTGCCCACTCGCCCCCCTCCTACCCCAGCCCACCCTGCAAGTGCGGCGTGGGGCAAGCGGGGCAAGTGCGGCAAGTGGGCAAGTGGGGCAAGTGGGGCAAGTGGGGCCCCCCCCCCCGCCCCCACCCCCCCCCCCCCCCCCCCCCCCGCCCCCCCCCCCCGCCCCCCCCCCCCCCCCCGCCCCCCCCCCACCGCCCCCCCCCCATGGCCTGACAAGTCTGCCTCAAATCTTGTTGCCCCTTTCATGTTGCGTTTCCCTTCCTTCCCCCCTCCCCCTCCCCGCCCTTCCCCTTAAAATCCCCCCCTGTGTTGCCTGACAAGTCTGCCTCAAATCCGGCTGCGTTTGAGGCAGACTTGTCGTGCCGGTTTCCTACTCTTGATCGTGTTCCCCCCACCTCCCCCCCCAAACTCCCCCCCCGCCTCCCCCACCCTTCCTGATCCTCCTCCCCTCCCCGTCCTTCATCTCAAAATGGCCCCCTTCTGTGGCCTGACAAGTCTGCCTCAAATCGGGCTGTGTTAGAGGCAGACTTGGCCTCTTTCGTCTTCCCCCCCCCCTCGGAAGCAGCACCAATGTGGCGAACCTTCCCGGTCCGCTGAGCATCGAAGAGACCCCGGCACAGCTCCAAGTATTGGCTGCATTTGAGGCAGACTTGTTGGCTAGGGTCTGCCCCAACAAGCCCCACCCATAAGTCTGCCTCAATTTCAGCTCGATTTGAGCCACAGGTCTGCCTTGAATGCAGCCCGATTTGAGGCAGACTTGTGGCTATAGGTTGGTCATTTTAGGGTCATTTTAGGGTCCAATAGCACTCAAGGTTCTACTTGGCTAGGGCCTGCCCTCCAACCATAAGTCTGCCTCAAACGCAGCCGGATTTGAGGCAGACTTGTGGCGCGGCGAGGCCAAGGGGTGGGGGGAGGGGGGGGGGGCGCTTGCCCCACTTGCCTCACTTGCCCCACTTGCCCTACTTGCCCCAGATCATTTTAGGGTCTGTCCGAGTCCAATAGCACTTGAGGTTTTTTACATGGCAAGGGTATGCCCTCAACGAGTCCCAGCCACAAGTCTGCCTCAATTGCAGCGAGATTTGAGGCAGACTTGTGGCGGACGTGTGGCTAGGTTGGTCATTTTAGGGTCATTTTAGGGTCCAACAGCACTCAAGGTTCTACTTGGCTAGGGCCTGCCCTACAACCATAAGTCTGCCTCAAACGCAGCCTGATTTGAGCAGACTTGTGGCGGCGAGGGGGGGGGGGGGGGGGGGGGGGGGGGGCGCTTGCCTCACTTGCCCCACTTGCCCCACTTGCCCCACTTACCCAGGCAGCAGGGATTACTCCTGAGGCAAGTGGGGCAAGTGGGGCAAGTGGGGCAAGTGGGGCAAGTGGGGCAAGTGGGGCAAGTGGGGCAACATCAATTAGCTTTTCCGGGCCACCAAGTGGGGCAAGTGGGGCAAGTGGGGCAACATCAATTAGCTCTTCTGGAAAGGCAAGTGGGGCAAGTGGGGCAAGTGGGGCAACATCAATTAGCGGACCCCCTGGGCGCTCGCAATGTAACAGTCCTTCGTAGGGATTATAGCGACACCCTATGATCAACCCCATCAAGAACCTGTAAGTATAAGGGGGAACACCCCAAATGATGAAACCCTAAACCCTAAACCGTCCCAGCCCTTGCCCAGCCGGGCCTCGCCTCAAAGACTGCGTTGTCGGTGATCGGGCAGTCGAAGGGGTGCTGCTGGAAGTCCTCCGTGCCTTGCTGGGTTTAGGGTTTAGGTAGGATTTAGGGTTTAGGGTTTAGGGTTGTTTGGGTTCTTGGAGGCTCAAATCGGCTAAACTGGCCCTCTAGGGCCACCTGCCTCGCAGCCGCGCAGCCACACTGCAATTTTCTTACGGTGCCCGGTCGTCTTGGCTCAATTCAGGATCCCACCACGCACCCCCAAACAGTAAGGGTGTCCTGAATAGCCCAGCCAAATCGACTTTACAGAGAGGGCCAATAATAAACCGGGTCCAACTTTAATGGCTTTCCGTTATGACCCTGTTCTAATTAATAAGGGCCCCATGTTAGGTAGACGTCTGCCAGCGTAAGGTGCTGTGCCAGTTCGAGCCGAAGACCGAGTCTTGACGCTCGCCGTGTCGGATGACCTCGTGGCACTTCGGGGGTTGGGCTTTGGGGCTTGGAGCTGTTTCCAAGCTTTGGCTTCTAGGGCCTTGTGAGGGTTTAGGGAATTCAGGGCTACCAAGGGCTGTTCTCCGGGGTTGGGAGGTTCGGGTAAAGAGCCGAGGAACTGCCACGGCGGATTCGTGTCCAAGCTCAGGATCTGCGACGCCGCCCGTCTGCTGTGCTTTGAGCATGTTCAAAAGAGGCATGTCAGCCGTCTCCTCGCCAACTTTGCCCAAGGTGCTCCGGGGCCATGGTGTCTTCACCGGCGGCCACTCAGCAGTGGTATCAGAAGCAGAGGCAATCTCAATGCAGGCACCTCCATCTTCGATCTCGGGAGGGTCCTCCCAGGACTCTGTGTAGAAGCTGTTTCCTTAGTCCCATGGAAGTGCTCGAAACCCTAAACCCTAAACCCTAAACCCTAAACCCTAACTCATATACCCTGACAGGATCCTTTTAACACCCAGACCGGAAGATGGAAAAGCTCTTGTCTGGGCTCAGTTTCGCAGCAACTGGACCTCCTCTTCACTGTGCATCCTGCTAAAAGTTTGGTTCGTCCAATTGATGATCTCCTCTTCACTGGGGGGCTTAAGAGTCGCTCCATACCTGAGATGCACGTTTGAATTTTGCGATAGAAAGTACTGCTGCAAAGGTTGCGATAAGCAAGGGACACCGCGAAGAATCGTCCCAAAGCGCAGCCCAGACACCCGCCGTTGCCCTCGAACTCTGCGAAATGCGGAGGCCACAGCAACCCCTTTAGCCCCATCGAGTCTGCGTTATTCACGTTGGCCTGAGTTGTCCAAGCCCGAATCGCACAAACCCACGGTGGCTCTAAGTTACCCCCCCCCCCCCCCCCCAAACACAAAAGGGACCGATGATTTTAGACCCTAGCTCTATGGAAACTTACGAAAATAAGGGACGCCTATGACAGACCCTCATGTCGGAAACCCCCATATGTCGGGTTTAGGGGGCAGAGTCTAGGGTGAGAAGCGCCATTCGCTGGGTTTTAAGTGCCACTTTCGGGGCAAGCGAAGGCCGGCGATAAAGCCTGGATGCCCTAAAGCCCTAAACCCTCAAGACCCTACGAAAGCCTCAACACCCTCAAAGCCCTAAATGCCCTAAGCCCCCAATACCCTGGACAATGAACCCCAAGATACCCTCAACCCTAAACCCTGAACCTTGGGTGCACGCTGCTGCTGATGCTCTTGTTTCTTGAGCCCTGTCAATAACAGAAATGGGCAGGTTTTCCTGAAGCCATCACTGTTGACCAAAGCAAAAAAAAGAAGCAGGTTCCTACGAACCGTTCAATGTACGCCCCCGCCCCACCCCCCAGCTCATCCCATATGATACCATCAATAGCCCCCAGCCTTCCGGACCTTGTCCGATCCTAGCGACCAAAGCAAGACAAATTCGACAATATTGGTCTACCTGGGTGCTGCCCCATTGAGGGGCGCCATCGGCACCTCAAGCGCCATGCAGGGAGGACGGTACAACGAAGGGAGGGAGGCGCAGGAGGTTTCCGAAAACCTGTCTGTCCCCTGCTGGTCCACGTAACGCTGGTGCCTGCAACGTAGGATATGGGTCCCAGCGGCGCTTTTTTCGGAAACTTCCGTCAAGCAAAAAAACTTGCTTTGAGCCAAACCATAGCCAAGGTAGGTCCGTAGTACTGGACTTCGCTTGTGGCATCTCACACGCGAGGTTGATCTCAAAACAATGGTCCCTGCTGAAGCATCTGAAAGAATTGCTACGCAGAATCCTCCTAAATCCAATCAGGGAATCAGCGGAAACTGTCCCCATGTCCTACCCAGTACCTTCGACATGATGTATGGATTCCTCCATGGACCCCTCTGTAACTTCCTCGAACCCTTCAGGCGCATGGGTTCCCAGAACCCCTCCCGCACCCCAAGGCGTGTGCGCGCTCTGGATCGTCGTCGTCGTGCTCCAGCTGCATGACGTCGAAGTTGTCATCCATGACCTCGGGTACTTGGAGGGTCCTGGTACTTACGAACCCAATATCACTGTACTTCCTGTATAACCCACTTAAAACAGCGCCTTAAGTGCCCCAACATGGCTATCAGTGCAGTTATAAGTACAGTTAGAACTGGTTAACAAGTACTATGAACCTCCAAGTACGTACTCCAGGGGAGGGAGTTGTCCGCCTTACTAGACCTTGTTCTTACTGTTGGTTTGCGGGCAATGAGGGAATTAGGGCCCTATATACATACCCTTTAAGGGATGCAAAACCTCATTCCCTCATTCCCAGCAAAGCAACAGTAAGTTTTTACCCAAGTGTGGATGAACAACTGGTGGAACCACAAGCCCTACGGAAAGCTCAGGGATCTTTGGGTGCTGTTTTTGCTGGACCGAAATGCAAGTTCCACATCGAAGTTCGTGTTCGCGCCCCAGGTCAACCGGAGACCGGCATGGGACGTCTAAGCTACAACAACATGTGGCTGGTGAGTTGTGGAGGTCAACCCAAATATGCCAAAACTCCCATGTAAGCATTTCCCAAGATGTACCTCGAAACAGTATGATCCTTATCATGGGACCCCAAAAGGGGGATCCGCAATCTTCTACATAGTTGTGGATTTGTGGATTCCTATTCAAGTGGAGTACATCCCGAAGGCCTGCATGCTGGGAATGTGGTTTACGGCCGAGCTAATCGCTAGTCATGTGCTCTAAGATGGCCTCCTACCACATCAAAGCTCTATGCTCCTAAACCGAGGGCTTAGAACCATCAAGCCCTTTGTAGAACCATCAAGCCCTAAACCCTAAACCCTACTTTAGGGTTTATAGGGTTTAGTAAGCCCTAAACCCTAAACCCTGACCGTGCGAACGTAAGGTCCCAAAACTCTGGAAGGGTTTGGTGGCCTTCTGAGGCATAGACATCTGCCCCGGGCATTGCTTGATCCTCCTCTTTGGTGAGCGCCCTGTCGGAGACCGTCTTGGTTTTTAGTGGCTTTAGGGGCTTTGGGGTTTAAGGTTTGAGGTTCTAGGGGGTGAAGGGGAACTCTATCTGAAGTCGTAGAGGGGTGGTGCCGTCTTCGAGTGGTGTGTACTTTTACATACATGCCCAACTAAACATAACTAAAGATATAAATATAAACATGTATATATATATATATATGCTTTGTGTGTGCTCATGAGCTTCGGGCGAAACCATTTTGATGTATGGCACGGCAAGACACAATGACTGATGAAGCAGCCTAGGCCTGTGCAAACAAATACGAGTTTCCGCTGCGCAGGCCAGCAGCCTGATCTCTGACACAATGTCAGCGAATTCTGAGCGAAGAAGCCCAAAATTGGAGGTGCTCGCAAACACGCCCTCTTCTTGTAAGGGTGACGTGCGATGATATGCGGGCTTCCAGTAACGGACTGACAGGTAGATGAGTTTTTTGCAGGAGCCTTGTGGGATTCGGGATTGAAAAAGATGCAAAGCTCCTGAACCCGAAACCCTGTTGAGCCCAGACTCGGACAAGCTTGCTGGGACCCTAAACTCTAAACCCTAAATACACGCTAAACCCTAAACCCTAAACCCTAAACCGCAATTGGCAGTTGAGCAACTGGAAATTCTGTGGAGGAGCGGGAATCTGCGTAAAACCAAGTCTTTAAACATTAACATACGTTATGTCCGTATACATATATATATATGTATATTATATATATATATATAACAAAATATACATCATGTGTAATATGTAATGTTACGATGTCTAACATAACATGAGCTACCAACATCTAGCATAACTTATAGAGAAGACGACGCGTGTGTTTCATGACAAATTTAGAGCCCTAGACACTGACCCGGCATGTTCAAGCGTTGCACTGCAGATCCTGTTGCATGCCCCACCTCCACTTCAAAGCCTTCTTCTTGCAAAGATTGATAACCTGAGGCCATGAGGTCTGACCTCTACAAGGTATACTAATCTATCCACTTGCCCTCCATGCACTTGCAACAGATGTCTTGACGGCTTAGGGTTTAGGGTTTAGGGTTAAGGGTTAAGGGTTAAGGGTTAAGGGTTAAGGGTTTAGGGCCTGCGACTTTGAGGTTCAAGGCAAGCCGCTGGGGCCCTAAGTAGCCCCTAAGTAAACCTTGCGCCTCTGCAAAGGGCAGCTGCCCTAAACCCTAAACCCTAAACCCTAAACCCTAAACCCTAAACCCTAAACCCTAAACCCCACAATTCATGAGCCTCTTATGAACAGCATCGTGTACAGCCTAGGCAACATGGCAGCCTTCACCTTTTATTACGGATCCTTTTGGCGTCTCTAGGTTTAGGGCTTAAGATCGGGGGGTTTGGGGGGGGTGTTGGAGATTTAGGGTCTACGGAGTGTTACAGGGTTTGTGGGCCTGTGGGTCTATAGGGTTTAGGCTCTCTCTCTCTCTCTCTCTCTCTCTCGCTAAACCCTAAATAAACCCAAAAACCCTTGGACTGGGGAGAAGGCCAGCTTCTTGCCGGCCGAGGTCTCAATCTGCCAGTCAGACCTGGGACAGAATCCGCGTGGGATGAGCATGTACCTTTGGGATGTTCCCCCCCCCCCCCCCCAATAGGGATGAGAGTACCCCCCCCCCCCCGATTATAATCCCTATTGAGGACTGTTAGTATAAGGGGGAACATCCCAAAACTGTACCTATTTCAACCTTAACCTTAACAAAGGGTAATTTACCCTAAATACACCAAGGGTTATGTTAAACTTTCCTTGTTTTAGGGGGGCAGCTCAGACTTTCAACAGCATCCTGAGAGCCCACCCCCGGGGTTAGGGTTTAGGGTTTGGGGTTTAGGGTTTAGGGTTTAAAATTTAGGGTTTAGGGTTCAGGGTTTAGTTACACTGCTAAACAAGGAAGCATACTGTCTCGTTGAATAAGTATGAGTTTTTGCAAGGCACAAAGTTGCTCCAGCTAAACCAAAGCACCGTGTTTTAGACTGGGAGCTACATGCAGTCATATCATAAAAGCCCAGCCAAGGCCCGAAACCCTAAAAACTAAACCGAAACACCCGGACTCGGCACACCGAAGGACCATGCCTCAACATGGGCGCTTTCACAAAACAGCCCTCAGTTCCTAAACCCTGAAAACCCTGAAAACCCTGAAAACCCTGAAAACCCTGAAAACCCTGAAAACCCTGAAAACCCTGAAAACCCTGAAAACCCTGAAAACCCCCAAACCCCAAAACCTGGGACTCGCACTCGTCAACGTTGACCTTGGGATCAGATTGGGGGAGGGAGAGGGGGGGAGGGGGGGCTGACGTCAATTCTAGGCAGCTCTCTGGGGGCCTTTTTGCAAAGTTTTCGGGTTTAGGTACCAAACAGGGCCCATCGCTGAGATCGACACCCTCGCCCGCATGTTTATTCGGGGGCGCAGCTTAGACCCCAAGCCCTCAACGAGATGCCGCGTTTCATCCAACCAACTGTCTCCCAACGCCACAGAGACAACTTTGTTTTAGGGCTTGGTGGCAAAGATTTCTTTCAAGCCAGGCGAGGTTCTGCAGCTTCATCTCAGGTTCTAGTTTGGGTTTTCACACCTGTCATGACATGGGATCATCAGGCACACCGGCAGTTCCACCACAGCAAAAACTGTGTTCAGAGACATATGGGATTCAAGGCAGGCACCGGAATTTTGAGTTTGAGGCTCATCGTCCCCTCCCCCCACCCGCAGCCCTGATCCCTGCAATCGCAAAGGGACGGAGGCTCGCACCTTGCCAGCTAGCTCTTGCTTGAAAAGCGCGCCTGAAACCAGCGGCTTGGGCTTAGGAATTATAGGGTTTAGGGCTAGGGCTTATGCAGGGTTTATAGTTTATAGGCTTCGGGTTTAGAGGCCATTTTAGTGTGACATATGGAAAGGTGAGGTCGCGCGGGGCGGGCTGCCACTTCAAGCACATCGGGGTGCTGCTACAACTCTGCACCGCGACGTGCACGCACGACGAAGAGCTTGCCTCTCAAAAGTCACTCTGTCTTGTAAATGTAAAGTCCGAAAAACCCCTGAAACCAATACAAGTAGGGCCCCGACGTACTAGGATAACTACCGCCGAGGGGCTTCCATTTTGTAACCTACATTCCAATCAGACCTATAATCACACTTAAAACCTATTTAGGGCCCTTTTCATTTTAAGTGTGGGGAGCCCATGCTCCCTTTAGTTTGCATACACCATCCCATGGAACGCGTTTCATAACACAATGTACTTGGTTGTTGATAAGGTCGGATGCTTGAAGTCTGTTCTGCTGCTTCTTCCAGGGAACAGGCTGCTGTCAGTGCGACGCGATGTCAACACAGGCAACCAAATATTGGGGGGCCCCGATAGCTCTGCTCTCTACGGGTCGTCTATATCCCCCTTATATACCCAACGCAAATTAATGCCCCATACGAATAAGGAGGTAAGGGACCATATGCAGGGCCAATGAAACTACCCTTTATTGCTCAGAACGCCCGGCCCCCCTACGCGTAAGACACGTGCTCTCGGGAGTCTTGGGGCCCACGCTGCCGGCAACGATAACCTGCCAAAGGAAGCTCAAAGTTTTGGTCCTGTGGCTTCTTAAGGAGTCTATCTTGTAAGAAGATCGCATACATGCATGCGTGCATGCATATGCTTTTGCGCATCCATGTATGCATAATCCCTATGTCTGCGGGTCCGCAATTCGTACTTGCGCGGCGGCCATTTTTCACGCGCGGCTCCATTCAGCAGCAGTGCCTGAGGTTCGTGGCCTTCACCAGTGTGAGGAGGCTTGACGATGAGGTGCCTTGCGCTGTTGCTCCAGTTGAGCGCAAGGGGGCGTCCCAGCAGTGAGTTCTGCATCTCCCGGGCAATGCCTTGTCGCGCGGTCCTTGCGACGAGGACCCTAACGCGAAATGCGGCGCAACTGAGAGAGCCCGAACTCCATAAGCACCATGGAAGCCACCAAATGTGAGCGAAGGATCGTTCAGGATCACCCTATGCAAACTCAGAGTTCTTCAGGTCTCAGAATCCTCAGCCCCCTAAACCCTAAACCCTAAACCCTAAATCCCTAAACCCTAAACCCTTTATAAACCCTAAACCCTAAACCCGAACACCCTTTTCCTGGCAGAAGTTGCAGTCCAGGTGGCCACCTACTCGAGCGCACGGCCGATGCAAGAGGGATCACCTTGCTGCCTTCAGCTTGTGAACGCCAGACCTTGCCGAGGCTTTTTTCTGTGTGGTTCTTAGTAGGGGATGAGGGAATCTGGGCTGCCCAGTAACCTGGGATTAAAGAGGGTGCCCTTTTTTGCTACAAGGGGTTTATAACCTAAACCCCCCAAAAAGGGAATAAGGGCACTACTGGGCATTAGGGCCCTACATTATCCCTTGCAGGGATATATAGGGCCTTCATTTCCTGATACCCTACGAAGAGCCAAGGATTTTGTTCGGGGTCTAGGGTTTTTTAAGGGGTTCAGGCTGCACGCCTTGCTTTTAATTGTGCTGGTCAATTGTATAGTTTAGGGTTTGGGGTTCAGGGTTTAGGGTTCAGGGTAGAACGATTCCACGTTGAATCATGGCTTATACGGTTCACGGATACAACGGTGACAACTCGTGTTGCTAATCTTGCTGTTCCGGCTACTATTGCTGGTACTGCCAATGTTGTTATTTTGTTCTTGTTGACTTTTTGACATTATTGGTAGTTTTCACATTGTAGTTATCATGGGTTGGGTAGGTTGTTACAAGGGTCGTTGTCATTCTTGCTCGTCTTGAACAGTATTTTTACTATCCTTAACGCTGTGGTTGCCGCTGCTGTTGCTGCTGGCTCTGGTTATGGTTCTGGTTGTTGCGGTTGATGTTCAATAATCTGGTTGTGGCTATTCAAACCCCACACTATCACTACACATTCTGATGTTCATGTAGATATGGGGGTTTACGATATAGTAAGGACCCCCATAAGGTACCCCTAACATCGTGAACCTCCATATTTGTGACTAGCGATGACTACGGAGGTTCCTGGAGTGGGGGCACTTTGAGCCTCTCATTACGTTTTCGACGTTGCGCAAGGAACGCAGGCCCTAAACCCTAAACCCTAACCCTAAACCCTCAAGACCAGGATAAATAGAAATTGTACGCGTTTCATTACGAACAGCTGATGAAATAATCCTTCATCGTTCACAATGCAAACAAAACAGACAAAAGCAGGCTTGCACGGAGCCAAAGAGGACCCTGAAAAGGGAAAGAAGCCCCGAAACTTGCTGCGCCCAAAACCACCCAAAACGAAATCGGCAAGGTTTCAGTCCTCAAAACTCGGCAAAATAGCCCCCAACGCCCCCCCGAACCTCGGACAGAAACCCTATGCAATTCCAACCTTCCCAAGACCACCCAAATCGAAGCTGGCAAGATTCCAGCAAAAGCAAAAAACAAAACCCCCAAACCCCCCAAAACCCGACAAAACTCCGGACACAAACCCTATACAATTTCCATAAACCCTAAACCCTTAACCGTGACTCCGTGACTTTTAGGACTCCTTGAGGTGCCCTGGAGCCCGCCGTGCCAAAGATTCACACCCTAGAAGCAGCCTTCGCAAGATTCTGCGGTCAGTTCGTTACACTGCTTTCCTTCTCAAGGTGAAATTCCCTCAATTACACCTTAAGTACCATACGTAACAGGGCTGCAGCATGTGAGACCTGACCGTGTCGAATCCCTAAACCCTAAACCCTAAACCCTAAACCCTAAATAAACCCTAAACCCTAAACCCTAAACCCTAAACCCTAAACCCTAAACCCTAAACCCTAAACCCTAAACCCTAAACCCTAAACCCTAAACCCAGTCCAACCTGGGTGGCGTGGGAGTGCGGCGTCCCGGAGGAGGCTCCGACGAGGGCTCTGGCAGGCCGGCAGCCTCATCCCAAAGCCTTTGCAAGGCTAGGGCTTTCAAGGCGGTTTAGGGTTTAGGGTTTAGGGTTTAGGGTTTAGGGTTTAGGGTTTAGGGTTTAGGGTTTAGGGTTTAGGGCTTTGAAGGCTTCAGGGAGAGGTTGGGGGGGGGGGGGGGGGGGGGTGCAAAAGACCTTGGTCATCTACTGCTACGACTGAGCAACTGTAAGGATTTGGGGGGCTGCTTGTACGGGCTTCGGGGAGATGCTTGCGGAGGTTGCGGGGTTTTCTCGAGGGGGTCATGAGCTCCGAGTCTGTTGTTTGGCTTTTTTTGCCACTCGTCTAGAGTAGACAGAAAGAGGTACCGACTCACATCGACAGAAGTTCGAGGTTCCGGGGGGCAGTTGAGGCAGCATGGTTCGGATGGCCTCCATACAACTTGGCTGCGTCCAGCTTTTCGGCCGAGATGGAGGTTGAGGCGAGACAGAAGGACAAACATCCAAATTCCTAAGCCCCTGAGCAACCCAGAATCCCGAACCCCCGCGAATATGTTTCCATATACGAAGCAATGTTTATATTTATCCATATGTTGCTATTGATGATCTTCTATGCCTGTATATGTATCTGGATACAGATCTAAACCCGAAACCCTATAAACCCTATAAACCCTACAAACCCTATAAACCCTATAAATCCAACAAAACCCTATAAACCCGATAAACCCGATAAACCCTATAAACCCTATAAACCCTACAAACCCTACAAACCCTATAAACCCTCCTACAAACCCTATAAACCCTATAAACCCTATAAACCCTAGAAACCCTACAAACCTTAAAACCCTAAAAGGTGCCGCGGGGGGGCCCGCAGGTGGTGGTCTCTATGGGCACACGCTCAAGGACATCGGCGGCCGGAAAGCTGAAGCCACTGCAGTCCTAGCGATGCTTTAGAGCTCATTGGAAGCCCTTGACCTTTTACTCAATGAATTTAGGGCTTAGGGTTTAGGGTTTATAGGGTTTAGGGTTTTATGGGTGTGCAGACCCAGAAGCACGCTTGCTTTCAAAGTGCATCAACTGATCTAGACCTCAAGCCCTACATGCTGCGAACCCGGGCAAGACTAACAGGAAAGCCACACCACCCTAAACCCTAAACCCTAAACGCTGATCTCTTCATGCGATTTTTTACACCCTTCCGCCGGGACAAGGGGGTTTAGGGTTTAGGGTTTAAGGGTTTAGGGTTTTTGGCCTACTAACCTAAACCCTAAACCCTAAACCCTAGCCCTAAACCCTAAAACAAAAACATCAGGTGGTCCGAGCCGAACTCGCTGAGGCCAATCGGCGAAAAGGAGCCTCGGATGCCCCCCAAAGACTGCTTCGGTAAGGTGGTACACACTATACTCCCCTTAGAAACCCTAAACCCTAAACCCTAAACCCTAAACCCTAAACGCTAAATCCTAAACCCTAAACCTTAAAAAAAAATGATACTTTTCATATCCTCTTGGGTTTTGATATGAACAAAAAATAATTCTCAAGAGGGATGTAGCACACCGTCCCCCTGATCCACAAAAGCAAACCCTCCCACACACCCGAGGCAGCGGCCTTTGAGCCCGAAGCCTCATCTATATCTCCAGTAGCAGCCCTAAACCCTAAACCCTAAACCCTAAACCCTTTTGAACCTGGAAGCTGCTTCATGCCCTCAACCCTAAGCAAACCCTAGCTTTCAGACTGGGTTTGGGCCCAGGGTGTGCGTTTCAGGGGATTTGGGGGGGGATTTGGGGGGGTTTAGGGTTTGGGGTTTAGGGTTTAGGGTTTAGGCTCGTGGGTTTTTTTTTTTTGGGGGGGGGAGGGGGGGGGGCTTCAGGGCTTTGCATCTGGGTTGCCCTCGTTCGTCTCAGCCTGGTGGTGTCCTGTCTCTGCTACCAAGCCTCAGGGCAATCTCAGACCCATGTAGGGGGTTTAGGGTTTAGGGTTTAGGGCTTAGGGTTTAGGATCATAGAGAAGAGCACAGATGTGCGCAGATGGTACATAGCATCGGGATTCTAAGGCTTCGAGGTGCGATCTCTCTTTCTGTAACATTCTGAAATGTTCCACAATGATGTAAGAATGCAATTCATATCACTGAAATAATCATCATAAAACATGAACAGAGTACAAAAGCAAACACAAAAACACTGATGAAACACCATAACGTACGAACTTACATACACCTGTGACCAGGCCGGCTAAACCCTAAACCCTAAACCCCAAACCCCAAACCCAAAACCGTAACAGAAAAATAATTCATCATAAAACATGAACCGAGTACAAACGCAAAAGGAAAACAATGATGAAACACCATAACGCACTAACTTACACACACCTGTGACCAGGCCGGCGGCCCTAACCCCTAAACCCCGCCTGCGACGATCGCTTGCGCCGGCACGGCCTCAGCGCCGCCCAAGAAGAACTCGTGGGCCCGAGCCTGGCACAATGGGTCTCACTCATGGCACCTGGTGTTCGTTCCGCCTGGCCATGTCTTGCGACAAAAGACCTTGCAACAAAAAACCTTACAAAACAGCATGGAAGATGCAGAAGGCTCAGCCAAAGCTCCAGCAGTTCCTCTTCCTGAAGCCGCTGTAGCCCCAAACCCTAAAGGCCCTAAACCCTAAACCTCAGACCCTGACTCCTAAACCCGAAACCCGAACGCGCACCTCGCGAGCCCCCAAGCGTTGCCGCGGGTTCAGGCGCAGGAAGGACCACAACAGGTCCTGTGCCTGGAGCTCGATAGCATTTTGGGGCTTTCAGGTTCTAGAAATCTTTTCAGGGATTTGGGTCTGTACTATGCAGCTATGCAAGTCACGATGGTGTTTTTGCAGCAGGAGTTGGTTAGGTAAGCTTGCCGGCTTCAGGGTTGAGACGTGGAAAGCTTGGTACACAGGCATGCTTCTTGTGCCAGGGCATTCGGGGGAACTTCTGAACTCCTAAACCCTAAACCTATACCGGCCGCAGCATGACTCCCCATTCCCAGGGCTGCAGTACTTGCAAGTCTCTGAACCACGTGGCTTTGCTTGAGAAATGGACTTTGAGGCCAGGAAGCTTCATCACGCACATGTGTTCTTAACACACCTAACTTACAAACCAAACTCACCCCAAATGCAAGTCCGAAGTCATCCGGAAATGTGCGACCTCTGCTGGTGAACCCTGAAGACTGCGTTCCAGGAAACGGAGGCAGATGCCAAGGGCGCCAAGTCTGGTCGATTTGGCCTGAGTATTGCAGGATAGACCGCTGGTCAAGGGCTCGGACCTTCAAAGCGGAAGTCTCAGCCAGAACACATCGGAAATATTATTATAATCTCCCAGAGAACTGTTGTGCTGGGCAAATGAATATTCCCCCTGGTTCTTAGTAGGAAATATGGGGAATTTGGTACCTTACATCCCCCTATGTATACACCTTAACTTGAAAGGATTCCCCTGAACCCTAAAACCTAAACCCTCATCCTCTGCTGAGAACCATGAAATATACCGGCGTAGGCCGACTCCCGGCCCGCTTTTTTTGGCACCACCCGCCCAGCTCTCGCCCAGCTCTCGCGCGCGCTGCGGGGACTCCGGTTTAGGGTTGAAGGTTTCCCTTCCTCAGAATGGGAATATGGGGAGAGCGGGCTCCTTATTTTTTCTCGCTTGTCTTGGGATTGCCAGCCAAGCATGGTGCACATGCAACTGCAATGGCCCTGTGAACCCTCTGAACAATATTCCTACATGTGACCCTCTTAAACCCAATAAGGGAATATATAAAATACCCCAAGGGCCTACCCAGGCAAAGAAGGTTGGGGTTTGTTACGGTTTGCTTAGGCTTAGACTAGTTTAGACCTTCGCGGGCTGGTCTGTTGATGCCATGTCTTGAATCGTTCAACCCCACTGTGGCGGGGATGCGCTTCCTGCTTCAACTCCCGTCGTCATCAGACAGAAAAGTGTCAAAAACTGAGGTTTCGAGTCGTTGATACGCCGCCCGCCCCCAACCCCCCAGCCTCTCCGCGGTGCCGACTTTGCGCGTTCATCGTTTGGTTCTGTCCTTTGCAGAAAAATTGTCCAAGCAGGGGGCCGTGCCATTCGTATGACAGCTACGCCCAAAAAAGAAGTTGTGTACTTCAAATGCCTTGCTCAGGACACTTCAAGGCCGTCCCCCCATGTCTTGCGTCACAGAGGCAAACGCACCCATGGTTTGAGGCCCTGGCGCACGTGGCTTGAAGGAAACCTTGTGGTAGTCCGGGAGCTGTCCTTGGTGACTCCAAGAGACCCGGCGATGCCAGGCAGCCGGATCTGCCGAAGAAGCTGCACCCCTAAACCCTAAAGCCCCTGACCCACTACCAGCAGTCTTGAGAACAGCCCTACAGCAGTGGGCTTTTGTGGCTTGACTTGGCAGACTCCCGAGGTCACGGGTTTACGGGCGTCAGCTTTACAAGACTTGTTAGGTTAGGGTAGTATCTAGGTGTAGGAGACTTGCTCGCCTTCACGCTGCAACGCAAAAGGAAGCACAATGTCACGGTTAAGAGCGCAGATGGTCACTTCTCTGAAATATGGTCCTTTTTGGGTGAGTGGACGGCCTGAGGTGCACTCCGGCCAACGGAAACGTTCCCTCCCACCACCTCTTCCCCCCTCCGCTTGCGTCATTGGGGCCTTTTTGGGGTCCTTAATCTAAGGCGGCCCCTCTTATTTCGGGTACCCCTAAACCCTAAACCCTAAACCCTAAACCCTGAACCCTAAACTTTAAGAAGGACCATCACTTAAGAGAACCGACCGCACGGCATGGGGAAATCTATTCGTTGGCTATGGCAAGCCATGGCTTCCTGGAGTTGATTTCAACCATTGTTTATCATATTTTTATGGTAACGATGATGATGATGACTATTTCGGATGTATACAGTAGAATGCAACTCAAGTCTTACGACTCTCTTCAACGTATATATGTTGACAGATTTCCAAGATAGACCACCTTCTAAGCATGGAAAGCAGTCTCCATCTGCTGGCGAAGCAACGCAGCTCCGGCCTTGGCTGGGCACGGGAACCCAGGTGAGCTCGCTGTGTGCTCAAGGCAGAGTGACCCAGCGACTGTGTGAGAGCGTGAGAGAGTGAGATTTGAGAGTTTAAGAAAGAGATAGAAAGGGACAGAGAGAGAGAGAGAGAGAGAGACAGAGAGAGAGAGAGAGCGAGAGAGAGAGAGAGCGAGAGAGAGAGAGAGTGAGGGAGGTCCCCTTCATCATGGTATGACCCACTGCTGGCTCTTTTAAGGCCTCATTCCCTCTTCACATCCTGTCACCCGCGAAGTGCAGGCAGGTCCAACGCGGGCTAGGAGCCAATCACCCTCGTCTGGCGTTCCGAGTGCCTCATCCAGGAAGGTTTGGCTTTCGAGTTTTCTGACCACACGCACTGTTGCTACCGAAGAACACTCCGCAGGGACAGTTCGAGGACATCTCAGACGTAATAACTTTCAGACTCCTACGTACTGCCTCCTCAGAAAACCCAAGATTCACACCAAAACCACTGTCACAGCTTTTTTGGGCATGAGCGCGGCGCAGTCAGCCGGTCTTGGTTGCTAGAACCCTAAACCCTAAACCCTAAACCCTAAACCCTAAACCCTAAACCTTCGGGGTCAGGGTCGTGCCGGCGCCTGGAAGATGAGGCAAAGCTGCTCCAGGTCGCTCCCTCCTCTACCAGCTGCTTGAGAACCCCGGAAAAATACAAAAATGATATTCTTGATTAAGGGCAATATAGGGTTTAGGGTTTCGAGTGAGGGTTTAGGGTTTAGGGTTTAGGGTTTAGGGTTTAGGGTTTAGGGTTTAGGGTTTAGGGTTTAGGGTTTGGGGTTTGGGGTTTGGGGTTTGGGGTTTAGGGTTTAGGGCAAATTAGTGGTCCTGGGAACAGCGCGTCACCGGCCACCGAGACAAGCTCCGCAAACGTGCAGCCAGTGGCCCAGAGATCCACGCCTGTTCATTCTGGCTTAGGGTTTCGTTTAGGGTTTAGGGTTTGGGGTTTAGGGTTTAGGGTTCAGGGTTTAGGGAAGGGAGGAGAGGGGAGAACATGCAGTATCGGGGATAGATTAGGCTGGGTCCGCGCTGCGGGATTTAGAAACCGATTGCTTTCATGTACACTACCACTGGGCTTTAGTATTCGGGGCTAGGCAGTGCGTGCGCAGTCTTGGCGGGCTTCTTGAAACCGGAAGCAAACCTTGCAAGGGAGTGGGCTGGTGAGTCCAGCGTGCAAGCTTGCTACAAATGACCCAAAAATCGTTGACATGATCCCTTCAGAGTTTGAATGTCTTACCTTATGCCTTATGCCAAGAACCATGACATCCTCCCTCACGGCTCTTCGTGCCACCAAGCTGCCAAAGGAGTAGTCCACAGAGCCAAACCTAGACAGTCTCTTTGAACATTCAAACTAAAGCCTAGGGCCAAATTGTAAAAAAGTAGAAAAATGAAAACACTAACAATATTAATAACAATGTGAATAATTATAGTCATTGTAATAATCATCATAATAACAGTAATAATTGTAATAATAGTAATAATACCAGTAATCTTGCATTACTGATGCAGGCAAGGTTGTGATCCCCTGTCAAAAGGCCAGATGAACGAACACCCACACTTGCCACTTAACGCCCCAGGAGCAGCATCTCGGGGGACTTGTACCACCGAGTGCACACATCCCGTGTCATCCTCATCATGGAAAGGCATGGTTCATCCGGGCGTTGAGTTGGCATAGGTTTTTTGGGTATTTTGGGGGTTTCTGAGGGGCTTTGGGAGGCTTCAGAGGCTTTCGGGGTGAACAGGATCACTCAGCACTGTGCGCTGTCCCGCGAGCAAACCGGAGCTCAGCCAGCACGCGCAAGGCTATCTTTCTCTGGGTTTTAGGGCATCTCAAGATTGCTAGCGACAAAGCTGAGCCTCGGGTCAGGCCTTGGAGTTATTGATATGCGTTCACCGACACGTTCAAGGACACCTATCGAGCCATCAAGGTGCCTTAACAACAACAAGACCTGAGGAGGAAGCGCAGATCAACCCCTCCGTCTCTAATGAGCGCCGCGCTCAAGAAGAACTTTCTGCAAGCATGACTACCCGGCATTACGCATTTCGGGATAAAGCAAATCGAGCCCTTCAAGCTGCAGAGAAATTGGGCCCATGCACGAACAGAAACAGAGGACTCCTCCCCCCAAGTAAGTAGGAGTAAGGCGTCTGCTCGGAAGTGCCCCTCCCTAAACCCTTTTGAAAAGCCCCCCTGCTTTTGAACCCTAAAACCCTTCTGAAACCCTGAAGCCTAGGCCCTTTTCTGACTGAGCCCTTAACCTACCTCTGGAGTAGACCCAGAAAAAAAGTAATATACTTTTTAGGTATAAGTAGCTATGATGGGAACCCAAAACCAAAAAAAAGATTAAAGTATAGTACTCCAAAGCCCAGTTAAAGAGAGGCCCTTAGCTGCGCCCCAGGATCAGGCCATCGCCGGAGCTGGCGCTTGCCTCTGGAGTCTCCGGAGTGCCTGGGACGAACCTCCCACAAGGCCAGGTGGGTGGGGGGTTTAGGGTTTAGGGTTTAGGGTTTAGGGTTTAGGGCTTAGGGCTTAGGGCTTGGGGTTCAGGTGGTGGGGTGTCGGGCTTAGGGTTCTTGTTTCGAGGAACTACTTCACAACGCCCAAAACCTTTGTTTTTGCAGTGTAAGGTTTCGGGTGCGGTGAAGTAGTTCAAGGGGCAAGGTTTGGGGGTTTTCCAAGGGCTAGCTGAACCCCCTGCCGGTTCAGGTACATACCTGGACTAGGGGACATATCGCCCAGGTCAGGGGGAAAGCTTCAGATGTAACCCCCAAAATCCCCCAAACATGGCCTGAACCCTAAACCCTAAACACTCGACACTAAACAACCCCCCAAACCCTAAACCCAAAACCCTAAATCCGAAACCCCAAAACCCGAAACCCAACCCCTCAACCGACCAGCTTTTGGGGAGAGCCCAGCGGAGCCCAGGAGCCCCATACCCCTTCATAACTGATCATGCCCTGTTTCAACATAAGAAGTCGATCAAGACAAGTAGTAGCTCAAGCAATAGTCGGCAATCTTTTTCTGTTCAGTGTTCTGCATCTCTCCCTTTTTTGGGCTCAAGAGTTTCTACTGCAGGCCGCTTCTGTGCCCGGAACCCTGAACCCTAAACCCTAAATCACCCCACTCAAGGGGCCCCGAACTCAGTGGCTGAGGGGCTGCTTGTGTTGAAAGCCGGGCCCCCCTGAGATGAACTTCAACATTGGCCCATCCTGATACGAGCCCTTGGGGGCCCTAGGGGCCCTTGCCCCAAGTGAACCGTGACCGTCAAACTCTGAATCGCATGTGGGAGGCTTCTGCCGGCTTTTCTATTGGGTTTCTATTGGGTGCGGGGGGGAGGGGGGTGGCGGTGTGCAGGGACCGCAGCCTTTAAACGTAGTCAGGGGTTCCCCCTGCATGGTCCCTTGCTTTACCCTAAAACTCCATGTTGATGACATGCTAGCAAAGAGTACTATCAGTAACAGCATTAAGAATCGTAACGACAATAAAGCGAATAGGGGTATGGATAGAAAACAATCGTTACCCACATTAAGTCAAAACATAAGAGTAACAAAGTCAGCAAGAATAACCAAAACAATAACATGATAAGACCTGAACATTGTTATCCCCAGCATCCCTGCAATCACCTATTTCGCCTGCCCACCCCACCCCTCCAACCCCCCAGACCCTCCATAAACCGTAAACCTAAACCCTAGACCCCCAACCCCTAAACCCCTAGACCCCCAAATCCTAAAACCCTAAACCCTGAACCCTCTCTCTCTCTCTCTCTCTCTCTCTCTCCGCACGCTTAACCCTCCCGAAAGAGGGCTGCCCCCAGAACCGCGCGAGTCCCAAGTTCAGTCGGAAAGAAAACCGGCCCGCGATGTTATGAACCCTCTCTCTCTCTCTCTCTCTCTGTCTCGCTCTCTCCAAAACTCCAAACCTTGAAACTTTATTGGCGCCTTGCCGACCCAAAATCCGCCAGCTTGAGCTGGCCGCTTACGCCATCCTCGGCTGGGTTTGGGCGTTCAGGTTTTGGGGGGCTTCGGGTTTGGGGCGCTCATTTCTAAGGATGAGTTAGTAGGCATCCTCGAAGTCTTAGTTTGCGAGAGGAATGGGTAGATCAGAGAGATAGATTGACAACAGTCCTAACCGATGCCCGGCTGTTTGCCAAGAGGCTCTGTCAACTCCCACTCTGGCGGACGGCGGCTTCGTTTTTGGTATGTCGGGCTGCCTAAACTCTTAACCCTTAACCCTAAACCAAAAAGTTGGGCGTTTGTGTGTCGGGTTGCCTAAACCATAAACCGAACTTGATATTTAACTTGCAAGCCTCCACCGCACTCCTTCAAAGCACAGCCTGGCCTACAGAGCCGAGACCTCGTGAACCCCAAACCCGTCCCCAAACTGCAAGACTCTTGAAAACCTGGCTTCGCATGGCAGCATGTGTGCCAGGCTCCGGTAGGGTGTAGCGTTTAGGGTTTAGGGTTTAGGGCCTGTTTAGGGTTTAGGGTTTAGGGAGGCCGCTTTTCTTAGGGTAGCTACATGGTCCCATCCGATGGGCCCTTAAAAGGGAACCCCTAATTTTGCAGCCCTTCGAAACCTTGTAAAACCCGAGGGCCCATAATTCAGAACCCTTTCAAGAAGGTACGGGACCATATTAAGGGACCATGTAACTAGCCCTCCCCCTGGTTCTTAGTAGGGAATCAGAGCCCTCTATATATATATATATACCCAACAAGGGACTAGAAAGGGTACCTCATTCCATCCCTCGGCCCCCCCGGAGCTATGAATCCTCTGAGGCCAGCGTCCACCAGGATGTTCGGCGGCTTGAGGTCGCGATGCCTTGCGCTGCATGTTGGGGTGGAGGGCATACAGGGGATACTTAGGGTGTAGGGTGATTAGGCTAACTCAGAACTTACCTTGATACTAGTATACCTTAATAGGGCATACTAGTATCAGGGTAAGTTCTGGGTTGATTGAAAGGGCTTCCGGACAGCGGCTTGCCAGAAAAACACCCAAGGTGCACCACGCCAGAGCCATGGAGGTGGGCCAAACCCGCAAGCAGCATTGCAAGCCTGGGTTTAGGGTTTCGGGTTCAGGGTTTTAGCATGTTTTCGACTCTCACACTGTTTTAGCATGTTTTAGGGTTTTAGGTTCAAAGTTTCTGCGGGGTTTCGACTCTCGCACGGTTTAGGGTTTCGGGTTTCGGGTTTGCTGATGCCGCAGCTCAGCACCTACACTCGCACCTGGCAGGCAAGGCTGCCAGGCTCTCTGTCCAGTCAGGGCGAACTCACCACATCTGGGGCTTCAAACTGAACTCCCCCACAGCCCACTTCCCAGAATAAGCTGCCCGAATAACCCATCTTGCCACAATGGGCAACCCTAAACCCTACCAATTGCTTAAGAACCCCCAAAAAAGTAAAGACATTCTTCCTTATAAGGGCAATATAGGGATTATAGTTTTCTAAACTTTTGGGGTTTTGAAGCCATAGTAGAGCCCGAGCAGGAGAGTAAGAGACCGGACGCGGGAAGCTCAGGCATCAGGAGCACGCTGAGAAGCGGCGCCGAAAAGAGGCGTCCGACGGAGGATACGCAAAAACTACCACAGGGATGAAGGGCCGCGCGAAAAGGACCGGCAGGAGGACAAGCCGCAGGACAAAAGTCCACGAGCAAGAAACAGGACCAGGCTGAAAGGGGAGCCGGAGGACGCACGCCGAGCAGGATTGTAAAGACGACCCGAAGGTGTGACTTCTGTCGATTGAAGGAGAAGGTCTCCCAAAGCTCGGACATCTGCATCCCCAAAGGCTCCAATGATCACTTCTTGATGAAGGTAAACTCTAACTGCGAAAAGGAATCCTACTGATAGTTCAGGAACACCCTTAAATTCCCAAGGCGAGTGTTGCTATAAAAGGGAACGTCCTCAGATGAACTGCACAGTGCCTTACACACACCTTGCTTCCGGAGTTCTCCACAAGTAAGACTTTGTGGCAGGAGGGTCCATAACCCCATAGTACTACCACCCACCCCCCCCCCCCCCACTCCTCCCCCGAGGGCACAATTAATTTTGGTTCAATATTTCGTGGAGGACTTTTAGCTCGAACCCAGCCGCAGGGTCTTCGTCTGTCCCTCTGCCAGAGGCTTGTGGCGCTCCAACCTCGGCTGTGGAGGCTGGAGGGAGCTCATGGTCGCTGCCCGTGTTGCACTAAACCCTTTAGGGTTTTTTTTTAGGGTTTAGGGTTTAAGGTATACAACCCTTATGTTACCCCGATTCTGAGGTCTCTCAGAGGCCACTGCCCTCAACTGATTTTGCCTAACATGATCGAGGCCCGCGTGTTGGCGTGGCGTATATCTAGAAGAAGCCATCAAGCGAGCCGGCGTTCGGGCTCAAAAGCTTCAGAGCTTGAGGATTCTCGGGGTTGGGGCTGGCTTGGCGCAGCTTTGGGGGGTGGAATGGAGGCCTTATAGGCTTGCAGTCCGCACAATCCGACCTCGACCCTAAAACGCTTCGAAGATTTTGGGGGAGATGCCATCCGGGTGAAAAACGCCCTGGGCCTTCATGTGGTCTAGGGTTTGGGGTTTGTGTCTCATACTACTCCACTACACCCCATCCAATGCCTGACCTTCGTAAGGCATGACACTTACCCTCCGTGCAGGAACAGCATGCGGCATATACGTACACTCCAAACTCCGCCATGAACCCACCCAACTCTTCAAACCCAACCCGGTCCATGAGCATCAGTTGGAGCTAGGCGTTTTACTGCCCTCAGCCCTAACACAAAGAAGCCCCTTAGCTGCTTCCATGATTGGGTTATATTTGAAACAATCATGTTTATTGCTTATTTCATCTCGGGAAGTTAATATGACAAGAATGAAAACTTGTAACCAACAAGGACACAGTTAAGGCCACCTCAGCTCCCGACACTGTAGCCAGGTCCCAGGCCAAGAAGGGATAGATCCTTACACCATCCCGGGGGTTTTTGAAATTAGGGGTTTAGGTTTAGGGTTTAGGGTCTAGGGTCTAGGATCTAGGGTCCAGGGTCTAGGGCTTAGGGCTTAGGGTTTAGGGTTTAGGGGTACCTTATTGGGGTCCTTATGATAAGGGAATCCTACTATTTGGGGTCTATATTACGGGTCCCCTATTTTCGTAAACCCCCTGATCCCAGAAATCTCAGGGCTTCGCTTGAGGCTCTGGTTTAAGGTTTTGGGGTGTAGGGCTTAGGGGCGAAGTTTCAAGAGCACCCTGTACTCTGAACGTACAACTTCTTAACCGCAACAGGTGCTTAGAGCTCCTTACCAACGTAATACAAGGGCCTGTTAAATTAGAACAGGGGCTTGGGGGCTAGCATCGTACGATTCTATAGGGACCATAAGGGCAGACTATTAGCAATTCTTCCAACCCCCGGAAGAGCCTCTCATCATGGAGCTTCAGGCCATGAGTCCTAAACCCTAAACCCTAACCCTAAACCCTAAACCCCTAAACCCCTAAACCCCTAAACCCCTAAACCCCTAAACCCCTAAACCCTACAGCCCACACAACATTTGCTCTTGAGTCGGCAAGGATCAGTATGGCCATGACCCCCCCTGGCTCTACGGAATGCTCCAAGAGCTCGATGATGTTCTCGTGGCCTCAGTTTAGGGTTTAGGGTTTAGGAGGTAAGTTTCAGGGCGCTGCGAGGGCACTTGCCGTGGATCTATGCATTGAACTTCCTGCTGCTCCTCCGCCAAGTCTGCGGCATATTCCTAGTATGTGACTCTCTTCGCAGTCGTCATGCCCCACACCCCTGGATGCGAGTATGGCTCACGAAGAATGGCCGAGAGTCGCAGGCTACTTCGTGACGTGCGAAGCACTCAAAAGGCTCTGGGACCATGTTCTTAACAGTTGACAAAATATTATGCCTTTAACAATACCAGATTCATGTATGAACATTTTAAAAGGTGCGGGACAGGAACGCACAGCCACCAGTACATCCCGCTCGCGCTCCGCGCTCTTGTACCACGGATCGAAGTCCAGTCCGGGCAGGTTTTTCCGTGCTCGGATCTTCCTCGGGCTCCAACAAGAAGGAGCGAAAACTTGAAGAGCCCATGATTGCAGAGGAGGTCGGACCCTAAACCCTAAACCCTAAACCCTAAACCCTAAACCCTAAACCCTAAACCCTAAACCCTAAACCCTAAACCCTAAACCCTATCGAGTTGATGAACAATGAAACCTATCAAGCACGAACACTGCCTTACCCAAGTTCGCAGATCAACCCCCATGCATGCCCCTAAATCCTAAACCCCAAACCCCAAACCGTAAACCCTAAACCCTAAACCCTTCCCTTAGAGACTCTGAGAAAATCTGGGCCCAAAGTTGGCAAGAGGATGGAGCTGGGGACTGGTTTTTTCAGGGCCTGAGGTTTAAGACATCAGGTGATCGCTGAAAAATTGAGGGGAGAGAGAAGAGGGCGCTGTGCTTTGGGGGTTGGTGGCTCCTTCAGCTCTATCGAAAGCCCGTCATCCCCCTCGAAGTCAGCATTCACCCGGCGGCAAGAGAAGTTCTTGCGACTGTGTGCTCACCTTCCTCTCAGAAATCTCCCACACTCATCCTTCGGCTGGTACAAACCCTAAACCCTAAACCCTAAACCCCTAGGAAGAATCGAGAAGCATGGCCTGGCTCCCTTGGCGGCTTCTAAGCCAGGACCCTGAATCCGTTGAGCCCACCAACCATACAGAACCTTTCTGCAGGGTTTCTAGGGCCTCTGGGCTTGTGAGATTTAAAGGGTCTATGGAGTTTTATAGGGCTTATGAAGGCTTAGGATGTATAGGGCTTGCGGCCCTAAACCCTAAACCCTAAACCCTAAACCCTAAACCCTAAACCCTAAACCCTAAATCGTCAACGGGTGTCTTCACAGCAACAGCCTCTCCCGTCACCGTGTTCGTGGCGGCAAAGACAGTACCAAAGCGCCCCTCGGCGATGCGCCGCTGCACCTCTGCGCCAGAGGGTTTAGGGTTTAGGGTTTAGGGTTTAGGGGTTTGGGTTTAGGGGCGTACTGTTGCTTAGCAGGGAATAGCATTTTCTTTCCTACAGATACGACTCATCTGCTCTTCTCTTTCCGCTAGCCACAGGTATAGTATGGAGGCAGAGTTCGGGCTTCAAGCCAGCGGATGAATACACCATAGGGTTTAGGGTTTAGGGTTTAGGGCGGATGAATACAAGGGCACGGCATTCCATCGCACAACGCGCGGCCGACTCCCAAGGTGTATGGCTTCAGGTTGTAGGCGAAGTGACGAGCAGAGCCCAGAATGCATCGCACACAACACATTACACACAGAGATATATATATATATATATATGCAGATATATATATATATATATACATGTGTTTATTAAGTTATTTTTTACAAAGAAGTAAAAGTAGTCTCCCTGTACCCTCGACCTGAATTTTCAGCACGTGCCCGCCTTGTAATCTGTCAAAGGCATGGCAGGGCGCGTCGGAGATGCTAAGGCTGACAAATTCGAAGGCACATGTCCCTAAAAACCGGTTTAGGGTTTAGGGTTTAGGGTCTTTGTTGGGTCGAAGGCTGCTTCAGGGCTTGCTTGGCGGGACAGCACGTCTTGCTCACTTCGTCTGATGTCGGTCCTAGAAGACCCGAAAACTACACCCCCACTGGCCCTAGACCCTTTTTGCACGGAGCTTGTGTGTTCCCTAAACCCTAAAGCCTGCACCCTTTTGCTTAGTGGCAACCCCACCTGCAATTGACAATTATTATGTTCAACGTTAAGGGGGGTGGGGGGAGGTCATGGGCTAGCCGAATCTAGCCTGTGGGCTTCAGGGATTTGACTCTTGAGGGGTTGCAGGGTTAGTTTCTAGGGCCTTAAGGGGCTTCGGGTCTGAAACACATGCCCTCCACAAGCCACATGCGCAACTCTCCTCGCTGCTCGAGCCAACATGGCCTCGGGGATTGGATGTTGAGGGTCCTCGAGAGGGTTGGGAAGGCCAACTTGCCTGAGGCTACCAGGGGTCCTTCCTGTTCCTAAACCCTAAGCCCTAAACCCCAAACTAAGCCTGAGCCAAAGGTCCGCGTGGGGTACTGCGCAGTCCTTTGCGAACCGCCCTCAACCTCTGGAATCGCCCTCGACCTCTGGCGACCTTCATACCAGGTTACGGCTTCGAGGCTTGTCGGGCTGGTTCTTAGTTGGGAACGAGGGAATGAGGTACCCTATACCCTTAAAGGGCATATAAGGCCCGAATTTCCCCCATTCCCTGCGCAGAACCGGGGGGATGTGCAGGCTGTTGTCGTCAGGGCCTGGTGATGATGAGGGTTTACGAGCGATCTGGGGGATGTTCAGGGCCGAAGTTCCAGGATTTAGAGATCGCTAACCCTGAACCCTAAACCCTTTACTAAACCCTAAACCCTGAACCCTAAACCCATTCAGAGGCCTTTCCAGTCTGTGAGTCCCTACCACCAAGGCCCCGAAGGCTCACAACTCTTAGGAATGATGAGCTCTCTCATAGGGTTTCGGATTTAAGGTTCAGGGAAAAATGGGTTTCGGGTTTAGAGTTTTCAGTTTTGGGTTTAGAGGTTTAGGATACACTCAGGCGGGCCGTCAACTGCGTCGACTCGATCTTCACCTTGAGCTGCTCCTTGCCTCGGACCAGCGGATGCAACTCCCACCCTACTTGGAGATTCATGGGAACTTAGGGCTTGGGGTCTAGGGTTATAAGTTATAAGTTATAACCATTTACGACGATGATGGCCCTACTTCAGACCCTACCTAAATAGTACCGTGAACCTCCAAGTGGAGCCTTCAGCCGTCTAGCCTGCAGACTGAGACGCATATCAGGAGCGAGGGAAAGGTGAACGGCTCTCTCCATGTCACACCATGAGAGTCTAACTTTACTAAATCCCTGTTCCCCTAGGTAGAACAAAGGACCCTTTTTGTTCATATATAAGAAAGCCCATAACCCAAAAAGTAAAAAGGGTCCCTAACACTGATCTAGTTTATAGGGTTCTTAAGGGAGGGGGGGTTCATGGGGTGCCCTTAAACAAGAGAATAGTGGGGAGTCTTCGGGAACCTTGGGGTACACACCCCCTTGAACCCCTCTCCCTTAAGGACCCTAGAATACTAATAAGAATAACTCTCATATCCTGGCTGTTGACTCATTTTGTTACGAGGATGTGATATGAGCCCAGCCTTTGGAAACAGATTCAGTACGCGAGCGCGCGAAGTGAACGAGCGACACAAGAGCACACGGGCGCACTCTCCATCCCCTATATAGCGCCCGAAACCCTAAACCCTAAACCCTAAACCCTCTTTTTGGTGAACGAAATGAACACCACAGGCCTGGCACGAACGCTCAAATCACGGTCTCCCAAACCCCGGCAACTCAACCCTACACTTTGTTTTACCCACCTTCGTTGTAACCCTCGCGAGTCTCCGCACGATATCAATGATCGAAACTTCTAAACCCTACGCAGACCATTGAGTATTCTGTTGGGGCTTGCAGGATTCTATTACAGACGCCAAACGACCATCATGGACATTATCTCTTGGAATGTCCCCCCCCTTGTACTAACAGTCCTTTACAGGGATTGTGACGGAGGGCGTACTCTAATCCCGATTAAGGACTGTTGGTATATGGGGGTTCATAGAGGTGAGAGTTTGGAATGTTCCCACTTAGACTAACAGTCCTTAACAGGGATTGTGATAGAGGGGGTACTCTAATCCCTATGAAGGACTGTTAGCATAAGGGGGAACATCCCAAACTCTCACCTTTCTTAATGGTGTCACATGGTTGCACTGTTGCTTGTAGCTGCTTTAACATGATTCTCTTAGCATGCAAACATTAAACAAAAAAAGTCGCTGTGTTGATATGCCCAAAACCCAAAACCCTAAACCTTTTGGACCACATCTCCCACACGCAAGGCCAAGCGCGCGACCGAGTGTGGGGTCAAGGTCAAACTTGACCGTGACCTCTCGGGGCAGGGTTCTAGACCCAGGAGGAACTTGGGAATAAAAGGGGGGTTTAGGGTTTAGGGTTTAGGGTTTAGGGTTTAGGGTTTAGGGTTTAGGGTTTAGGGTTTAGGGTGGGCACCCACACCCTCAAAAAAGGGAATAAGGGCCTACGCCTGGTCATGGGGTTGAATGTGGGTCGGGGGGCCTTCATCGGGCATTCATCTGCACTGTAGGGGCCCTTGGAACCTGGCCAGAATCTGATAGGGTTTAGGGTTTAGGGTTTAGGGTTTACGGTTTAGGGTTTGTTGCCACCCGACTAGCCACGGCAATGCGGGGTAAAAGGTCGGAAATGGAAAAATGGAGAAACTGGCACCCCGGGGCAGTTCAAACCTGCAGGGGATATCGCCCAAAGGGCAATCAGGGTAGGGTTTAGGGTTTAGGGTTTAGGGTTTAGGGTTTAGGGTTTAGGGTTTAGGGTTTAGGGTTTAGGGTTTAGGGTTTAGGGTTTAAGGTTTAGGGTTTAGGGTTTAGGGTTTAGGGTTTAGGGTTTAGGGTTTTCGGGTTTAGAGTTTAGGGTTTAGGGTTTAGGGTTTAGGGTTTAGGGCCTAGGGTTTAGGGGTTTAGGGTTTAGGGCTCAGGGTGCGTCATGCGCGCTCGGGGGCCCCTGCCTCCGCATCGCTTTGTGTCCACTCTGGCGCCATTGCCGTGAGCCTCCTGTTCGGAGCACACGCCTTCAGATAGCTAAGCTCTGAGGGACGCCGGAGCAAAACGTCGGCAGAACGCATTTCTCATGCAAGGAGGCACTGAGGACTTCTGATTCCTTACCCGTCGCCCCCTCCCTAGGCAAACGACCCAAGCAGCTGACCCTAGGCAGGTTGGGGCCAGGAAGGGTCCTTACCCACCATCAAGCAGGGCTAAGAGAAAGCAAAGGCTGACCCAAGACCCAAGACCTCACGTCATATTCCCCTCCCCCCCACTTGTTCACCATGTCTCAACCCGCCTACTAACTCGAACCTTTCAAACACCAAAAGACAAAGCACCTCCCAAATCCCACGCCGAAATCCCGAATACGATTCACAACCAAAGCACCTCCCAAAGAACAAATAGCATTACAGAACACAGCAACGGAGCGAAGGTAAGCTTATGCTGTTTGAGGCAGCCGTGAGGACGACTTTGTATACTCAAACTGCGTCACCTGTCATGCAAGAAATTGGGCAAGCGTCAAGGAAAGCATCAACATTCCCGAATGGGAGTTGCCCATAGAAGTAATCTTCCTTTGGACATTGTACGGGCTTCGGGAATGGCTAGATTTGGGGATGTGAGGCTGACGCCTCGTGAGTTGGTATGGAATATTGGGATGTGCTTCGTGTATTGTAGGCTTGGAAGGCTTGATTTATGAGGATGTTTGATTGACATTGATAAATGGGGGACAGGCATTGGCGGGAGTTGGGATGCTCCCCCTTATACTAACAGTGCTTAGTAGGGATAATATTTGGGCTACCATAATCCCTACTAAGGACTGCTAGTCTAAAAGGGAACGAGGTGCTTTGGTCTTGGATTACAGTTGGGATTTCAGCGAAGAATTTGGGAGGTGCCTTGCATATTGCATTGAGACATGGTGCAAGCAGAAGCTAAGTGAACTTCGAAGCTCAGCCATGGGGATCACCCTAAATCCCCAAAACCCGAAACCCCAAACCCCAAACCAATCAGAACTCAAGAGCTATCCATGAGCTACCCTCCTCACCTACTCGGGCTGTTTTGGGGGGCTTCCCCGTGGCCTGAGGCAAGCAAGAACACCCAAAGGAAATGGAGCCAACCAGCAAAGGCACGCTCTTGCTTTTGAACTTCAACCTTACTTCGCACCGCGGTGGATTTAAACAACAATCTGGCAGGCTTCGCGAACGCCAGAGCGTTGAAAAAGACTGGGTTCAAACACGAGGGGTGGGAGTCTTCAAGGATCACGAGCTCTTGAAATTTTACGACTCTTGCTTTACTTTGTGGAAAGCCAAGGTCATGAGTAGCGTTTAGGGTTTAGGGTTTAGGGTTTAGGGCAGCGAACCGATAGTCGAGAGTGAGCAGACCAAGCCTGTCCACAAACGTCTGCTCTTGCAGGGCACCCTGGTACCGCATAGGCTCTCATAGGCCCCACAGGCAGCGGAATCCGACTCTTTACGTCTATTCGCCGGTGGTCAGCAACACTCTAGTCTTGCATAATTTTGCAAAGTGTCGAAGGCTGACACTTTCGTCTGCTTCTGCTACGGGAATCTCTCAATATACACCTGAAAGTACAAGTTACACCCCCTGGATACAGCAGATTCATGCAGTTTCGAATAGTCGCACTTTTCAAAGCTACTTTAGGGGGCCATAATAATTAGAATAGGGTCTTGGGGTGTTAGTATAATATAGTCACAAACCAACCATAAGGGAATACTATCTGTAATATTCCGACCCCTATAGTACTCTCCTCACAAAAACCTACCTCTGGAGAAAAAAAGTATATACTTTTTAGGCATAAGTAGCTATCATGGGAACCCAAAACCAAAAAAAGTATTAAAAGTATAGTACTCCAAAGCCCAGAAAAGGGGGCCAGCTGAGCCATGTCGGACCTCTTGTCTGCCATCGCGGCCTATTCCGGAACGTGTGCATTACCAGCACAAGGACGGGCGCGCAGGAAATCCCTGAAGTGGGTTTTGGGTTTAAGGTTTAGGGTTTAGGGTTTAGGGTTCATTATTATTGGACGTGGAAAGAGCTAAGAACTAAAGACGCAGCTGCTGTTAGGTGAGTATTGAACAAGAGCTTGGTTGGACCCAGCTGTGATGTCTCAAAGCAAACAGTATGAACAATGCGGTGGCATGCGGATGGAGTGCAGCAACGGAGCAGCAGCCGAAAAGAGTCTCTCAGCTGTAGCGTCTTTAGTGTTTCGGGTTTAGGGTTTAGGGTTCAGGGTTTAGGGTTTAGGGTTTCGGGACAGAAGGGATTCCGTGCAGGAGGCCGCAGTGAAACCCAAACGCTGCAAATGACTGTAATCAAGGCGTCAACGCCGATCTGCCCAGCCTGCGCTCTTCCCTTCGAGCTTGATAGACTTGATAGCTGTCTGTGCCGGCCCACGAGAGCCAGTTCACATAATAATGATAGTCAAAAAGTACTAATAACCAAAAGATCCTAAGCATAAACATCATAATAATGATAATCGTAGTAACAATAAGAATAACAATAGTAATAGTAATCTATAATGGTGATAATGATAGGTGTAAGAACAAACCCTAAGCCCTGACTCTTTTTGGCCCTAAGCTCAGCAAGCAGAAGGTCCAGAATAGCGCCGACACCACGGGATACAAGCACTTCGTGCATACCCGTCTGGCGTCCACCAAGCTCTGTTGGGAGCGAATGAGGCTCCCGGGTTTTGGGTCGCATGGAACTCGGTTCTCAGTTCAAACAAACTGCCGGCTCGTTCTCCGCAATGTCGCTGCCCTGCTGCCATACATAGACAATAACGGGGCTGCCATAATGACCATTGCTTCTTTGGCGTCATGAGAACTCAAGGCCCTGCCATATCAAGAAGACGGGAAATGCTTGCCCACGGCATCTGCAATGACGGAAGATACTTCGCGGTTCCCGCCCGGTGCGAAAGTGAACATGCCCCACTCTATACTTGTACAGTTTCCGGGGTAACTTTTACAAAGCTTAGCCTTTTCATATGGTTACATCATGTTACATCCCAAGTCGGGTTTTCCAACAGTACGTGAACCCTGTGCCCGCTGAGCTCCGGGGGGGGAACCTGACGGACTCTCCCCACAGGAGGGCCTCAAACGTTCACTAACGTCAGCTTCAGTGAGAGTTGGTCTTTAGGGTTTAGGGTTTTTTTGCCACCCGAGTAGCCACGGCAATGCGGGGTACAAGGTCGGAAATGCAAAACAAAAAGAACTGTCACCCCCAGGCAGTGCAAAGGCCACAGGGGATATCGCCCAGAGAGCACTCATGGTAGGACAATGCTATCGGATTGCATGTTTGGGGGGGGGGGGGGGGTTTTAGGGTTTAGGGTTACCAACTATATAGCATGCCTTTTGACCCTAAATCCTAAACCCTATAGGCCCCAAACCCTATCATGGAAAGAACGACGTTTCGAACGCTGAGGCGCAACTCCGGGCAGATAGCGCCCGTAGGAGATTTGGACGTCGTGCAACCCAGTGTCCACCAACAGAGGTTGCCGCCCTACCCTTCTTTTTGGGGTTGGCTACTGTGTAAGGGGACCTTGAACCAATGTGCATAGTGTATGTTCAAAGCCAAACTCCTAGGGGCATTTTGTGACGATGTGTGTCAACCTGCCCACATGTGAGGAAGATGTATGACCGCTTGTAGTCAAGAATGCAGTGAAACGTCACGTGGTAAGCCACACCTCCGTCTCCTCGTCCTCGTCCTCAGTTTGCAATCTGCGGAAGAGCTAAAGCCCACGTCGGCCTACTTCTCCTTGCCTACCTGCCTATAACCCTAAACCCTAAACCCTAAACCCTACAGCCAACTCATTGGATGTATGATCCAGCATGGCCCCAGCGAATGATCGGACGGCAGGGTGATAAGAATGGCAATTGGAACCGTAGGTTCAGGGTTTAGGGTGCTATAGGGTTTAGGGTTTAGGGTTATGACCTTACGGTACTTCGGGCGCCACTTGAAGGTATCCATGAGCCTCAAACTAGGGAGGCTGCAGCCCAGACGCCACCCATGTGCCACAGGGCCCGCATCTGCAGCAACGCCGGGAGGTTGCCTCGCCAGAAGCAGCCCTTTCCGCTGCTGGCTTGTGGGTTTCGAGCTTAGCTTGGGGCCCCCAAACCAGCACAAAACGCATCTGACTTCCCGAAAATTCCCTGAACCCCCAAAGGCCTTCAAAGCTAGGATGGCCATTAAAAACATTCCGATATATGATCCTCTTAAAACCCAATAGGGGAACATACAAAATATCCCAGGGCCTACTTAGAAAGCTACTGTATCCTGTTGTGGCCCAGGGAAGCTAACCAGACCGAGCCTGGCTAGACTGCAACTGACTGGTTCTCAGTAGGGAATGAAGGAATGAGGTACCCTATGTACTCCCTTAAAGGGTATACCGTAGGGCCCCTTTTTGCTTCTTCGGGCTGTTAAAGTGGCCGAACTTCACAGCCGGCCATTGTTAGAACCAGCGGGGGCAAGCTTGGACCGGGCCTTGGGGTCCTAAACCCTAAACCCTAAACCACCCTAAACCCTAAACCCTAAACCCGAGACCCCTAAACCCCTAAACCCCTAAACCCCCAAACCCCCAAACCCCCAAACCCCTAAACCCCTAAGCCCCTAAGCCCCTAAACCCCTAAACCCCTAAACCCCTAAACCCCTAAACCCCTAAACCCCTAAACCCCTAAACTAAAACCCTAAAACCCCTAAACCCCTAAACCCCTAAACCCCTAAACCCCTACACCCCTAAACCCCTAAACCCCTAAACCCCTAAACCCCTAAACCCCTAAACCCCTAACCCCTAACCCCCTAAACCCCTAAACCCCTAAACCCCTAAACCCCTAAACCCCTAAACCCCTAAACCCCTAAACCCCTAAACCCCTAAACCCCTAAACCCCTAAACCCCTAAACCCCTAAACCCTAAACCCTAAACCCTAAACTGGGGTGGCCTTGGCCATCGGCTCGGTTTGGGTCCCTCGGCTCATCCTCGGCGCGTCGGAAGTGGGAGGCCGCGGGCGCAAACCGCAACGTTCCAACCTCTGAAACCCCCAAAATCACCCCAACTCCCCCTAAACCCTAAACCCTAAACCCTAAACCCTAAACCCTAAACCCTAAACCCGAAACCTGCGGAGCCTCGGCACAAGCACAAGCTGGCCGAGACTCCCGCTCCCAAGCCGGCTGTGGCATGCCATGTTAGGGTTACAGGTTTTAGATAGGGTTTAGGGTTTAGGGTTTAGGGTTTAGGGTTTAGGGTTTAGGGTTTAGGGTTTAGGGTTTAGGGTTTAGGGTTTAGGGTTTAGGGTTTAGGGTTTGGAAGGGCAATTGTGGGGTTAAAGGAAGGGACCCCTTGCAGGCCTGTAGGGGCTGAAGGGCATTTCGGGGCCTTTCCGAAAGCCAAGATATCCAACAGAGCCAGCAACGACAGCACCCGAGAAGGTCCAATGAAGAGCAGCGGACTTCAGGGTACGGATGAAAATGCAGACAAACGCACACATATGAATGTATACCTAACTAAGGCATAGCATCTAGTTATGTTACATTGCAGTATACCACATTGCACTGGATTAAACTGGATTACACAGCAGTACGTAAGTTTTGTATAAAGACATATTATGTGCTACAATGTATACATACTAGTACCAACAATACCAATAATAATCATAACCCGAAGCCCTGCAAGCTGTGGGTATCTGGTTTAAATCTGATCTCAGCGGCGCGTTGTCCCCCAAAGGCTCCGCGTCCGTTGGGTGCTGCCTTGGCTAAAGCGAACTGTTTCAGTTAATTTACACTCCTTCTGTTTTTCTCTCTCACTCTCTCTCTCTCTCACACTCTTCCTGCCTGCGTCATCTTCTTCTTTTCGGCGGGGGTGGGGCTCAAGGGTGAAACCCCTTCGCCGCGCACCGGTACGTCTAGTCCTTTCTCGATGGGATTGTCCACACATCCAGCACCCCGTAATTCAGAAATATACCTTAACTGAGGGTTTAGGGTTTAGGGTTTAGGGTTTAGGGTTTAGGGTTTAGGGTTTAGGGCAGCAGGACCCCTACACAGTTCAAGGGAAATGGGGGCCCTTACTCTGCACCTGAGCCCAAGAAGCAGAAGCCACGGCGTCTTCGGCTTGTTAAAGTCTGCCGCTTCCGGGTCGGCACCTCAGCACCATTAGGGTTTAGGGTTTAGGGTTTAGGGTTTAGGGTTACAATGAGAGAAGCTACGCAGTTCCGATCCCCCTGCATGGTACGCTGGCAGATTCGAAGGCTGCCTAGTATAGGTGCCTCATAATTAGAATAGGGTTTGGGGGGGGGGGTTCTTACAGTACATTTCTCAAGGGACCATTAGGGAATCTACATGAGGTAAACCCTAAACCCTAAACCCCAAACCCTAAACCCTAAACCCCAAACCCCAAACCCTACACCCGCTCTTTGCCGGTTTTCGAAACTAATGGGGGACTTCGGAGCCATCGGATTTCCTGAGGACTGGGCTGACTGGCGGCAGGAGGTCCGTAAGAGGCAGCTCTGCTTCGGCACCTGCTTAGGGTTTAGGGTGTATAGGGTTTAGGGCTAGGGTTTAGGGTTTAGGGTTTAGGGATTAGGGATTAGGGTTTAGGGTTTAGGGTTTAGGGCTCAGGGCTCAGTGCTCAGGGTTTAGGGTTTAGGGCTAGGGTTTAGGGGCTGGAAATTCAGGGTAAAGGGCTGGGAGAGTTGCCTGTTTCCGCCGCCTCTAGCAAGCACGAACTGACAGAAAATGTCCAACAGAACTTGTGTGGGCTCATGTGCACATAGAGGGCCCCGAAACACCCCTAAACCCGAAACCCTAAACCCTAAACCCTAAACCCTAGCCCTAAACCCTAAACCCCTTACATCTCGGCCCAAGACCCAAACGCCTTCGATGTCGAAGCGGAGCTTCTTCTTGGCCGCATCTTTCTTGATGGCGGACTTCCTCACAGACTGAGGGCTTTGGCTTTCGGATCTTTAGGCCAGCAGACCATCAAACCCTAAACCCTAAACCCTAAACCCTAAACCCTATATAAACCCTAAACCCTAAACCCTAAACCCTAAACCCTAAACCTTCAGCCATCCTCAACCGCGGACTGATTCGATACCAGGAACTCTGAAACCTCTTCCTTAACCCTCGGCTCTCTGCTGCGGGCTCAGTGGGCCGACCTACTAAGCCCTTTATTTCTACCAAAAATAGTCCCCATATACCTTCTAAGTAGCCCCTAAATAACCCCCAAAGGTCCCTTACAAGGGTCCCTCCTTCAGTCCCTTGACAAACCCTACAGTCAGCCCCCGGAAAGTTGCAGCTTCCGGGATGCCTCACAGATGCCACAAACTAGTTCATGAGGGTTTAGGGTTTAGGGTTATGCCTTGTAGGGTTTAAGTACCCGTAAAATGTAAAATGGCACCCAGCGTTGACAAAGCAAAGGGCCATGGCAACCCGAAATCCCTTTGTGCCGTGCATCTGGGAGGGCTTGCTGAGGAAGATTCTGCACAAGAACAAGCTACCCCTGCTACCGGTTGGACCCAGACACTCTGGCAAGAGAACCGGGAGGTACAGTCCCCAAAAAAGGAGACCCCCTGAACCCTTAACCCTAAACCAAAAACAGCTTGTTACTAGGCCCGGGTGTACCACGAAACCCAAGGACGTACTTGTGCTTGAATGGGAGTTAGGGAACTAGGTGCCACATAGCCCCCTCTATGACCCGTTAAGGGATTATGCAGGGCATAAAGCCCTTATACCCCACTAAGAACCAGTAAGAAAGGCGTTGAGATGCAGGGCCTTACGTAATGGAGAAATCACAACACGAAGGGTGAAGTCCCGAATCCACTAAAACACAAACTCCCGCTCAGGGTTTTTAGGGGGCTTCCCACCCTAAACCTTAAACCCTAAGCCTCTTCTAGGCAGTCACATTCGCGGGGTTGTAGTTGTTGGTTTTTCGCTTGTAAGATGCAATAGGGCCAGGGTTTTTGATGCTTTTGGGGGCAAGGCCGGCGTCACAGGGTTGAGATTGAAGATTAGCTTTACAAACATGCTAACAGGAAAAGAACAACAAAGAGTAAAAAACGTCGGATGTGTAGGCTGTGCTGGCCGGCGGCAACGTAAGCGAGCCCGTACCCGAGGTTTCCTGGGCTGTGACCCTCAACCATAAGCTTGAACCTTACATTCGGGCTTGAGGCAAGGTCGACGCTTGGGGTCCTAAACCCAAAATCCAAAACCCCAAACCCCCATACCCCTAAACCCCATACCCCACCCTCGCAACACTGGTGGCTGTTCTTGTGCGGATCTCAATCATGCGATGTTTCGAGTCGTTGGGGCCTACATCATCTTGAGCGATGCTTGCCATCGCGTCGGACATGCAGGTCATGTATTTACATATATCTACTCACGTATTGATTTATTGATTTCACTAATTTCTGAGTCTTGTTTACGCTTGTGTATATTTTGAATTTATCTCAACACTTGCTTATGTACATGCAGTAAAGAGCCGTGAGCTCCTGATGAATACGGAAGAGCGCAGCTTTTCAACCAATCCACCAGGACCAGTGGCTTAGGATTTATAGGGTGTAGAGTGCATCGCTCAGCCAGGGGTAGACAGGGCGGATGAGGCCACTTGCATCCTTCCTTTAAGAGGGCCAGTCCAGGCTGCTGAAATCGAACTCGTTGCGATAACACAATCCAGGCGTACAGGCCCTGCCGAATCAAAGCCCGTAACTCGAAACGTAAGATCCCAAGGTACCTGGCATATAAACATCTGCGTAAACATCAAACAACATACAGTACATACTACAAATAAGCATAGGCATAAGCTCAACACGAGAGCACATATGCACACAAATCACTGCATTGAACCCATTTCTTACACATCATTGCTTAACACTACATGAAGGGTACTTTACTCACTCCACGCTCCGTTACACAAAACATGTTTACTGTGATCAACCCAACATATTCCGACCATTGGTGTGTTCATCATTGTTGCTACAGTATTGCTATTCGTACTCTTCTTCTTGTTGTTATCATTATGCATCAATATGTGAATGCAAAACTTGTTGGGGGTTTCCGTAATTAGGGGTACCGGATTGGGGTCCTCAGTATAAACGAATCCTACGCATTATTTGGGGGTCTGTATTTGGGTAACTCGTTTATGATGGTAGCAAGCCACCCCAACATCCCGCAACCCCTAAACCCTAAACCCTAAACCCTAAACCCTAAACCCTAAACCCTAAACCCTAAACCCTAAACCCTTACTGAGCAACTCCAAGTCACGCGGGCGGACTGCCCCGCAATGGCCTGATGGTCCGACTGCGTCGATCCTGGGTTTAGGTTTTAGGGTTTAGGTTTTAGGGTTTGGGTTTAGGGTGTAGGGTGTAGGGTGTAGGGTGTAGGGTGTAGGGTGTAGGGTGTAGGGTGTAGGGTTTAGGGTTTAGGGTTTAGGGTTTAGGGTTTAGGGTTTAGGGTTTAGGGTTTAGGGTTTAGGGTTTAGGGTTTAGGGTTTAGGGTTTAGGTTAGGGTTTAGGGTTTAGGGTTTAGGGTTTAGGGTTTAGGGTTTAGGGTTTAGGGTTTAGGGTTTAGGGTTTAGGGTTTAGGGTTTAGGGGCTCCAGGGCTAGAGACCTATAGGCTCTAGGGCGGGTGTAGGGCTGAATTTTAGGGGTATGTTCGGGTAGTCTTGCTTATAGGGTTGTCGGGAGAAAGGGTGGGTGTCGGGCTGAAGTGTAGGGCCTGGGGGTATGTTCGGGGGATGTTTTAGGGGGTATAGGGCTGAAGCTTCGGTGTGATGAAAGTTTTCCTTACTTCTCCAATAACCAAGGGGGAAAAAGGTTAAACTTTATTACTCCTACTAAATAGGGAAACCCAAAAGTTTAAAGTTCAACTATTGGCTAAGCAAGTTTGGGGTTTAGAGTTTAGGGAGCGTCGACTCCCATGCTCATAACGGGTTTGCTCAGTCAAACCTGTATCGAGGATGGCCCTTTAATTCTTTGGAAAGAATCTTCCTGGATGTGATCCTCTTAAAGCCAGTAACCCACAGGGTCCATCTGTATTACTATTGTGGAATTAGGTACACAAACACCATACTAAATAGGGTTTTGGGGTACCTAAACCCATAATAGCACTACAATGGACCCTCTGGGCAAGGGACAATATAGAACCGCACCATAAGGGCCTACCTAGTCATTTTGAAATTCTTACCAGATTTCGGCGGGGCCGAACGCGTCCTGTGGTTGAGACCTAGTGACCTCACACTCCCCCCCCCCCCCCCCCCGGATCCCTGCGTTGGGGTGGTGTGGGGTTGCGGGTTTTAGGATTCTAGAATTGGGGGGCTTGGGGTTTAGGTTCACATCTCAGAAGCTCCATCTGCTAAGGTTTCTAGGTTCCTCCATAGCCCTCGTAACTGCTGCCCCAAGCCCCAAGCGCTTCAACCCTAAACCCTATAAACCCCGAACCTGCGCCTTTGTGCAACATAGTGTTGAACTTGTTCCGGTGCCGCTGAGGTATCTGAAGTATCTGAACCCTCTGTCGCTGCGGAAGTGTTAGAAGGGTTTAGGCTGAGGGTTGAGGGTTTAGGCGTGTTGTTGCTGCAGCCTCTTTGGCTACAGACGACGGCCTGTAGAACCACAAGCAGAGGAGATGAGATGTTGAAAAGCACGCTGCCTTGCCCATAGCCTTCAACTGGGTAAGCAGCCGGTCTGCAAGCTGTCAGAAAGTGCTCGTTACTTCCCGGGGCAAGTGAAGAAACACTGTTGGCCTTCCCCATGGACACAATGCTTGGCGTTGGCATGCGTGTCATGCTTCGCCTGGCGAATTCTACCATCTGCAGGCAGGCTCGTGCCATTATTGCTGGTGCCCTTGATGTGAGCACGGCAATGGTGACATGTTGCGTTTTCAGCGATGTTTGAATCTTGGTCAGTGGACGACAAGCTGAGGCTTTGTGGCTTGGGGGTCTTCCTAGCTCCGAAACCAACCTGCAATCGGCAGCGAAGATGGAGTACTTTCTTGGGTGTAGGCTTCGGGTTTGAGGGAGTAAGGTGGGTTTGCCCTCTAGGCAACGGCTGACATCCGAGCAACCCGATTGCGAACTCCCAAACCTTCAGACTGAAACCTCAAACTTCGCAATCACCAGCCCTGAGCCTCGAAAGCGGAACTCTGCAACTCTCTCTCTCTCTCTCTCTCTCTCTCCTCTTTCTAGTTATTGTTTTTGATGTCTTCTTGACTAACAGACCCAGTCTCGGTCCCAAAGTGAGGATTCGTCACTCCGATCCTCTGCGGTTCAGTTCTGGAGCTTGGGGGTCTGTAGGGCTTAGGTTTAGGGTTTAGGGTTTAGGGTTTAGGGTTTAGGGCTTAGGGCTACAGGGCCTCTATCGGTTCTGGCTGGGTTGAGGATCGCAGTGCGGATCTCAGTTAACCTAGGCATGTCAAAGGGCAATCTTTCTGTTCCAAAGGGGATCTCAGAGAGCCGAAGCTCTAAAAACGGAAAGCAAAGGGGAGCCGCCGGGGTTAGGATGAAACCCTAAACCCTAAACCCGAAACCCTAAACCCTAAACACTTGCCGATCTCTCAGCTGCCGCCGGGGCTAGACGATTGTGCCCTCGAACTCCGAAACCCTAAGCCCTAAACCCCAAACCCTAAACCCTAAACCCACTTTTGACAAAAACTCCCGACCTTCAGAACCTAAAACCAGGAGGTTCTGGTCACATAACAGCTCAGGATCCGTAAGGAACCTATTTTCAAACCCCACAAGCCTTTTACTTCTCCCTAAACCTCGCACCCTAAACCCTAAACCCCAAACCCCCAAACCCTAAACCCCAAACCCTAAACCCTAAACCCTAAACCCTAAAACCCTAAAACCCTAAAACCCTACTTCTTCAGGTTAGGAATGAACAAGGGAGGCTCCGAGTTCCGCTTGCCGAAGACGGAGGCCGCGCGGCTCAAGGCCATCGTGGCCATCCTGTGCTTCGGGGATGGAGGGGTTTGGGGTTTAGGGTTTAGGGTTTAGGGCTTAGGGTTCAGGGTTTAGGGTTTAGGGTCTGGGCACAAATCAGCCTTTCTTTGGGGTTTAAGGTTTGGGGTTTAGGGTGGTCTTTAGGGGACCTGGGTAGCGCGTGGAACAACGAAGAAGAGGTGTTCTCCCCCATTTCTTCCACCTTTTTGCCGCCCACGACTCAACATCTAAATGACCTCAACCCTGCGGGTTCTTAGTAAGAAATGAGGGAATTTGCTACCCTGCAGAATCCCTTAAAGGGTACATACAGGGGGATGTAAGGTACCTGATTCCCTCATTCCCTACTCTAGAACCAATTGGTAGCCCCCTACAAAGAAGCAGTCGAAATCTTGCTCCAAAGCCCCTAGATAATCCTTCTGACCCCGCACAGCCCCACACTGGGGTAGGTTTGGAGGCCCTATGGAAATTTGCTTTTTTACAGTTTTACAGGCTTTTTATAAGGACTATATAGGGGTTAAGGGCAATGAACTTAAAATGATGTTCAAACCTACCCCCTGCGTAGGTCTCGAAACTTTGAGTCGCCCTAGGGCACGAGACCCTCATGATGCAGCGTCTAATCCCTCACACTCGGACAAGCCCGGTGTTTTAGAGTTCTCCGACCCCTAAACCTGCCCTAAACCCGCAACTCTAGAGCCCAAAAACCTGCAACCTGGAAAGCCCACCAAAACCTGGGAAGCTCAGCCCCAGGGGCATGCGCGACTTCGCTGACTTCCACATCTTCAAGGACTGGGCCTTTTTCGGGTCTCTGGGATTTGGGGACTTCTTGTCGAGGGTTGAGGGTAGGAATGCTTCGCAAGGCGGGTGGACGGGGAGTGGGTGGGGGCTTACAGATGCAGGAGGGGGCTGGAGGATTTGGGGTGTCTTGAACACTGCGGCGCTTGTTTGAGGCGAAGAACTAGCATTGATCTAGCTCTTGGGGTCTCTCTTGCAGGATAACCCTCTGACTTTACATTGGCTATCCGACAGAACCCATTATGTATTTCACAAAGCCAGGATCCCATTTATCGTTGTAGCCTAAACCCTAAACCCTAAACCCTAAATCAAAAAACCCTAAACCCCAAAACAAGCTGAGGTGCGGCGTCGCTGAGCCGCGTGTGCAGCTTGGCAGGCGCTGGCAGAAGCCCATTGAGGTTTGGGTTCCTCAGAGACGACCCTGGGCCCCAACTTACGTTGGAGTTGGGGGTCTGAGTATGTCTACCTTGATTCGTATGGGGGAACCCTCTTCACTCCACGATATGAGGCTGAGTTTGGATGTAAGTTTGTTGGGATGGGGTGTCTGAGGCTATCAGCTTTGCTTCGTAGGGGACATGGGGAATCATCTTCACTCCACAAAAGCGTGTTTTGTCTTGAAGGGTCTAAGTTTGTTGGAGTTGGGTGTGTCTATGTACTTTGATTGCTTTCAAAATAGGGGTCATGCGGGCTCATCTTCACTCCAGAAAGTCTGTTCCCTGAAGAGGCTAAGTTTTCTGGTTTTGGGTCTCTGAGCATCATTTCCTTTGCTTCGTGGGAGGCATGGGGAGTCATCTCCACTCCGCAAAGTCATTCCGTGAAGAAACCTACGAGTTCGGCCTACCGCACCATGTCTTTGAGAGGAACTACACCTAAACCCCTTTTTTTGCATCTGGACTCCTTGCTGCCAGGCCGTAGGCAACTACACCTAAACCCTAAACCTAAACGTTAGGCCCTAAACCCTAAACCCTAAACCCTAAACCCAGCAGTTCTGCAAAAGAGAAGTGGGAGCTGTGGGGGGCTTGCAACGACCCCCACCCCAGGGGCCCTTTTTGGGGGTCCCAGCCATGTCCCAGTCACCAGGTGCTACAAGCACCGCACCTGTTTCTACAAGGCGGGCAGCAACCTGTAGTTTCAAGCCCGGTGTAGGGTTTAGGGTTTAGGGTTTAGGGTTTAGGGTTTAGGGTTTAGGGTTTAGGGTTTAGGGTTTAGGGTTTAGGGTTTAGGGTTCCCATGATCTGAGACCGGAGTGCAGCGACTCGTTGGCACAGCAGACCACGACCTAGGTTCCCAGGATTCGCACGGATTCTTCACACCTGAAGTCTTATCTAGAACCTACTGTAACAAGCAAGGGTACACACACATAAACAAAACATGGGCTTCTACGGTTGCAGGCTTGGCGCCAGCGTGCCATCCTTGAAAGGAGAGCTGTCCATCTTGGGAGAGACCTGCTGCCAGGGCGGCAGGGTCGGCTGGCGGTTTGGGGTTTGGGGTTTAGGGTTTAGGGTTTAGGGTTTAGGGTTTGGGGTTTGGGGTTTAGGGTTTAGGGTTTGGGGTTTAGGGTTTGGGGTTTGGGGTGTAGGATACAAACGACTTGGGCGACTTCCGACTGCTCCATTTCCCTCGGCAATGCCCCACGACTTGCAACAAAGATGTTTCTCTATGTCCATGCCTAGGTATAGGGGGGTTTAGGCTATTAGGGGGTTACCTTGTTGGGTCCTTCTACAAGGCGAATCCTGCTATTTGAAGGTCTGCATTCGGGGGTTCCCTATTTTCGTAAACCCGCCCATATGTGCATCTCTCGCCGCTCTCTCCAAAACGGAACTTGCACGCACCCTAAACCCTAAACCCTAAACCCTAAACCCTAAACCCTACACCCTGACTTGCACTTTTCGCGGATCTGAAACCGATCCCCTCCAGACAATCTGCCTACGAAGTCCCATGTCGCGAGGCCAAAACACCTTGCTGCAAGCTTCTTCCTGAATTACCAAATCGAACTGAAGTATTCGTTGCATTACATATACATATATATATATACAACATATATGTAGATGCATTTTTGCTGTATAGAGGTGTGTGTACATATATAATGCCGGAAAAGCAAGGACGTCTTTTTTGGCCTTATAGTGATTTGCAACATCTACCCTGCTTGGCGGTTACCATGGGTTTGTTGAAGGAGGTCGCCCTTCCTTGAGGGAAATGCCTACAAGTAAAATTTAGGGTTGAGGGTCCAGGGTTTAGGGTTAGGGTTTAGGGTTTAGGGTTTAGGGTTTAGGGTTTATAGGGTTTAGGGTTTAGGGTTCAGGGTTTAGGGTTCAGGGTTTAGGGTTCAGGGTTTGGGGTTTGGGGTCCGCAACCCCGGACCCCGGCCTCGTCTAGGGACCAGTCGACACCGCCGGGCCTCTCCACGGCGATCCAGATGGAGGTCACCTCCAGGGTATCGGATTTGGGCCCCCCTCAACCCTAAGCCCTAAACCCTAAGCCCTAAGCCCTAAACCCTAAACCCTAAACCCTAAACCCTAATCCTAAACCCCAAACCCTGTAGCTCGGGCAAAGGGTTCGGAGGGCGCATGCGCAGAACCCGAATGCTGAAGGCCTGCCTGCCGCTCCACACCTGGAGGCTTTAGGGTTGAAGGGCTGAGGGTTAGGGAGGGTTTAGGGTTTAGGGCTTAGGGCTTAGGGTTTAGGGTTGCCAGGATCTAAATCGCACTCAGTCACGCTTGTAAGATCCCCTGCCAAGGGGGGGGCCTGGAGTCCAGCAACCCTGGGGTCCTGCAACGATCTGTCTTGGCCCTTCGTTCAAGATCAAGACACTTCTTCCTTCCTTGAAGTGCCCTAGACCCTAAACCCTAAACGCTAGATCTCAAACCATAAACTCTAAGCCCTCCAAACCCTACAGAAACCCTGTAACCCTCTAAACGCCTCCTTTCGCCGCCCTAAGCCCTAAACCCCAAACCCCTGACCGAACCCTAAACCCCAGGCCCTCAAAATAAACCCACAAACAGCTGAAGCCATAACCCCTAAACCCCACACACCTAAACCCCTAAAGCCCTAAACCCCAAAAACCTCTCAACAAACCCCTAAACCCCTAAACCCCTAAACCCCTAAACCCCTAAACCCCTAAACCCCTAAACCCTAAACCCTAAACCCACAAGCCGCGCAAGCCAACAAGTAGCAGCAGAACGGGCCGGAGCCTCGGCTGAGCCATCTCCGGGTGCTCTCCAGGGTCAACCTCAACACTCGGCTCGGGCTTGTCGAGGGTTTAGGGTTTAGGGTTCAGGGTTCAGGGTTCAGGGTTTAGGGCTTAATTAGGGTTTAGGGTCGAGGGTTTGGGGTTTAGGGTTTAGGGTTTAGGGCCGTTGAGGGTTTTGGGGGTCGTAGGGCTCCGGGCTTAGGGTGTACTCGGCGCGCCGGGCCCTAGACCCTAAACCGCGGGGTGGTGGGGTGGAGGCGGAGAGTCCTAGGTTTGGGGTTGGGGGTTTAGGGTGTCGGGTTGAGGGCCAGCGAGTTGCATGGTGGTGCACTTAAGCCTCACCCTCCCGACTGAGTTTAGGGTATAGGGTTCAGGGCTTAGGGGCGCAGGCTGATGCCTCTGGGAAATATGAAGCCTCACCCTAAACGCAAAGGGAAGGCCCCACCCAACTCCGAACTAAGATCTCCCCCCCCCTGCCTTTGTTGTTGCACGGCACCCGAGAGTAAAGGAATAAACAGGGTACCCCTTTTGGTTTAAAGGAGCTTAAAAGCGAACCTAAACCCAAAAAGAGGGTATATGGGCCTGCCTACTCTGGGTCCGAGTATCCTATGCAATATCATATACGTAAGAACTACAGCCTTGCGAACGAGCAGAGCCTCATCACGAGCTGAAGTCTCTGCCAGAACTCCGCAACCGAACTCCGGGCAAACCTAGCAACCCAAACAGAACTGAGAGCCTTCGGAGTAGGAACTCACCTTAAGAGCCCCAAGCCATGTTTTGCACCTTAAGTACTGAAGGTACCTAAGAATCCTATACGGGGCTCACTATTCTCACCTACTAAGAAGGTAGGGGTTGGGCCTTAAGGGCAGCTTCGTGCACATGAAGCCGAGGGGCTTCCCAGCATGCTCGTTGCCATGCTGGAAGTACTTCGGGACGGGCAGCTTTTCTGGCGGCTGGAGGCTTCAAGGCTGTTGTTCCCTCCCCGTAATACAGAAAACCAAGTATGTACGACTTGGTATGTATGTATGTATGTATGTATGTATTCATTATGTATGTATGAGCATATGTGTATGCGCATGATAATATGCACCTGCTTGTAGAGCCGGGCACCTTAAGCAAGTGTCTTATGAACCGCCCTCTAGACCCTCAACCCCTTCAAAGGATGGTTTCTGCGTCCATCATGTCACTCTCCGCAGCTCAGCAACACAAACGACTCAGCTCTGGCGCACTAGGCTTGCGGTTTAGGGTTTAGGGTTCAGGGTTTAGGTGCATCTTCATCTTGCTTTCGGGTGTTGTTCAAACAGATCTTGGCAAGACCCCCCGAACCACTGGCAACCTCCAGAATCTGATCAGATGCGCCGAGGAGGTGCTTTGGGAGGACGCATTTTCAAACAACAGCCGAGCATTGGACCCTAAACCCTAAACCCTTTTTTGGAAGCGTGAAATGAGGTCGGCATAAACCCCTAAACCTAACCCCGAAACCCGAAACCCTAAACCCTAAACCCCTAAGCCACTAAGCCCCTCAATCCCACAACCCAGATGCCAAAACCTGGCAGTATACTTGCTCATCCAGCGGCTAGGTTGCCCCGGAGTGCGCTGGTCGCAGACCCAGATCCAAGGCATCTTGGGCATCTCCTCTGCCGGGCTTAGGGTTTCGAGGGTAGAGGGTTTAGGGTTTAGGGCTTCCGGGTTTCGACTCCCTAAATCCTAAACCCTAAACCCTAAACCCTAGAACGGAAAGGCTCAACACCTGCTTGCGGTTGTGGGCCAGATATCCCACGCCGGCCTAGCCAATGAAACACGAACATGAAGATGCTCCTCAAGCTCTTCGTTTGGGCTCCTTATGATTCAGTATCTAGTTGTGGGCGAACCACGAAACTTCCAGGTTACACGTAGTTAACACCTGACATGCCCTGGCCAGACTGTGCAAGATGACACACGCCTACGAACTTCCCCTAAACCCTAAACCCTAAACCCTAAACCCTAAACCTTTAACCCTAAACCCTAAACCCTAAACCCTAAACCCTAAGCCCTAAGCCCTAAGCCCTAAGCCCTAAACAAACCACGGTCTAACATCTCCGAGGCAAAGAAACGACAAATCCGTGAGCTGCCGCAGAGGCTCCCCAAGAGAGGAGTCATGTCGTGCCAGGAGGTTGTGGCCGCCTGAGCTGGGCTTGAACCCCCTGGGAAGCAGGACTTGAGGCTTGAGCTGGTTTAGGGTTTAGGGTTTAGGGTTTAGGGTTTAGGGTTTAGGGCTTAGGGTTTAGGGTTTAGGGTTGAGGGATGCTGTTGGTCCTGCTGGTATTCTGTCGATATGGCTGTGCTCGTCCTCGTGGTCGCTGCGTTGTTGCTGTGCGGCATCTGGCTTTGTTGGCACTGTTGGCAAGGTTGGCGTGGTTGGCATGGCAGGTCTTCTTCTTCTTCTTCTTCGACTTCTTTTTCTTCTTCTTCTTCTTCTTGTTATAATTGTTCTTGCTTCTGCCGGTTGTGGTCGTCTGTTTGTTGCTTGTTGCTTATTGTTTCTTGCTTGTTTCTTGTTTGCTAATCCGCCTTACACTCCTGCTCCAGGTTTCGCTTTGGCAGGTGCCGTTCAGCTTTCAACAATGTAAATAATGTCGTCGCCGTCGTCGCCGTCGTTCTCGTCATTGCAGTTGTTGTGGTGGTGCTGACAGTGGTGGTGTTGTGATAGTCGTCGTCGTCGTCATCGTCGTTGCTACTGCTGCCACCCCGCGGAAGCATTTGCGACGACACTAGGCAGTGGGTAGCAGCAGACCACATGTACAAGTGCCTGCGGCTCTCAACTACTTCCCAGTTGCTACCGGAGGCGACGACGGCTGCCGCAGCTGCCAGCGACATGAGCTGGCCAAACCCACAAATGTCAGAGAGGGTCCTGACAAACCCTTAGCAGTCCTTAACAGCTGCTTATCAGAGATCTGGAAACATTCTGTGCCTTTTCTGCTCTTGCATACTTTCCTTAAGGTGGGAGATGTTGGGACTGAGGTACAGGGGTTTGGGGCTCTTTTGGGCTCTTCAGGCCGCAGGTTTCTAGGGGCTCTGAAGCCTCATGCTTCTGGAAGCCCCGCAAGCCCTAAACTTCAAGCACCCATGTGAGGTTCACGAAACTAAAGGACCCCTAATATGGACCCCCAAATAGTGGGATTCCCTCATCATCAAGGACCCTGGTAGTAAGGTACCCCTAAGTTCGGCTTCTTTACACTTGTTGGCATGGGTCATGGGAGCCGAAGTGGCAGGGCCACACCGCGGTTGTGCACAACTTTCCACAAACCCTAAACCCTAAACCAAAAACACAGGAGCACCTAGAACACATCATTTCATCGAGGACAGTCGTAAGGTATCGCCAGGCCGCGGGCGACATCGACGTGGAACCGAGCGACATTCGATGGTTCTGACCGAGCCAAATAGCCCAGGCCACCACACGGCCCCCCAAAAGGCCCCAACAAACACCAGGAGGCCCGAGGTTTAGGGTTTAGGGTTTTATTGCCACCCGCCTAGCAGATCCCCTCTCTAGGATCAGGGTTTAGGGTTTATAGGGTTTAGGAAGGAAGCCCGCCACAATGGAATTAGTGGCTGATGCCAGTGCATCTTGAACTCGCTCGGAGCCCCCCCCCCGTTCGCCGACAGGGTCCCAGGAGGACCCCTCAAGAAAACACCAGGGTCCCAAGAAGGAAGCAACCCTAAACCCTAAACCCTAAACCCTAAACCCTAAACCCTAAACCCTATAAACCCTAAGCCCGGCCCGAAACGGCCAACCATGGTTTAGGTGGCTGGCGAGAACGCGTTTCAGACTCGGTCACTGTCTTTGACAGATAGCTATTGGGATGTTCCCCCTTATAGAAAGCGGTCCTTAATAAGGGTTTTTTTGTATCCCCTATTGTCATCCCTAGTAAGGACTGCTAGCATAAGGGGGAACATCCCAAGATAGTTTGGCCTGTGCACGACATTGGTAGAGGACTTGGTGCAGGGAGCTAGTTCGGACGGTTTGCTGCCCTGAGCATCTAACGCCCAACAAGTTTAGCATGACTCGCTTTCCACAAGCACGTTTGGGGGTGCAGAAGTCTCTAAGTCTTCCCTCTTCGGAGAGTTTAGGACACAGAATCAGAAAGACACTTAGCTATGTACTTAGCCTTAGCCTTGGCAGCTAACGGCCGGGGGGGATCATGGGCAACAAACATCGCCCAGCAACAGCCCACAGCGCCCCTTTTTTTCCACTTGCCAGTCTTCCTGAATCACGCTCAGTGGCAGGGCCATCATTTCCCTGAAGGCGTTCAAGTCCTTGACATGCACTTGACGCTCCCCCCCCCTTCCCCTAAACCCTAAACCCTGAACCCTAAACCCTAAACCCTAAACCGCCTAAAACCCTAAACCCTAGGCCCGAATCCCAAACTGCATCTCCCAGGCCTGGAAACACCAAGTCCAGACCACCTAAAGCCCTAAACCCCCCACTGTTGGAGGTTCAGGGGTTCTTATGCTAGGGTTTAGGGTTTAGGGTTTAGGGTTTAGGGTTTAGGGTTTAGGGTTTAGGGTTTAGGGTTTAGGGTTTAGGGTTTAGGGTTTAGGGTTTAGGGTTTGGGACTACTAGACCCAGGAGTAACCTGGGAAAAAAAACGGGTGCCCATTTTGGTTTCAAGGGGCTGAGAAGTTTGATAAGGGAACCTGAACCCGAATAAAAGTAACCAGGGCCTACTCTGGGTCCTAGTATGAGTGGGGTGTAAGCAACCTAGACAAGGTTATAACCAGGTTGTAACTCTAAATTCCCTACTTCTGGCCCTACTTAGAAGTACCCTAAACCCTAACCCTAAACCCTAAACCCTAAACCCTAAACCCTAGACCCTAAACCCTAAACCCCAAACCCTAAACCCCAAACCCTAACCCTAAACCCTAAACCCTAAACGCTGATGAGCCTCCAAGTAGACCCCATGGAGCCCAAACCCGCCCGAAGCATAACACCCAAGGCCTAGACCGTCACTACTTCGTAGTTGCTGAGTTTAGGGTTTAGGGTTTAGGGTTTAGGGTTTAGGGTTTAGGGTTTAGGGTATATAAGCCCCATAAAAAGTGTACACTTTCAGTTCTATAGGGATTATAGTCTCCCAAAAAGTGTAAAGTGTGCTTAGTCAGCTACGAAGACTTCTTAGCCTCAAGCCGCCTATATGTCATGAGACCGAGAAATCTTGTAGCACTGGGGCATGGTATATAGAAAGGGATTGCAAGGTCCGGAAACACAAAGTTGACAAAAAGGCTCTCCTACCCGGAGAAGAAAAAACCAATTTGAAGAGGCTACATACTCGACCCTTTTTAAGCACGGACTGAGGAGGCTGCCGGCAACACATACTCGACCCTAAACCCTAAACCCTAAACCCCAAACCCTAACCCCTAATGCCAGCTTCTGCCCTCTGAACGCGAGCCGGTCTCAACGTGAAGCCTCGGAGTGAATCGCCAGTGGGGACTCTCCAGCTCCTGGACCTCGAAGATGCGACCTGCAGGGCATTTGGCTTAGGGTTTAAGGCTTAGGGTTTGTAGGCTTTAGGTCTTAGGGTTCCCCAAATAGGGGTGTAGGGTTTATTTAGGGTTTAGGGTTTAGGGTTTAGGGGTTCCGCATCTGGCAGATGCAAGGGGGTTCATGTAGGGTCCAGGTCTGAGGGATTCTGGCGCTGACACACAGGGATCCAGAGGGTCCATCCTTCCTGGGACCTCATTTCTGGCTCCTATATGGGTCTATGAGGGAAGCAGAGGGAAGTAGGGTTCTTTACGGTACCGGCATCTTGACCAACTACCACGCGCAAATCTTGGCGCGCGTGCTCAACGGCCCATCTTTCAGGTGCCTTTATGGTCTTCAAAATCGGATTTTTGCTCGGAAGTCCTACAGTAGAGCTGGGACTTCCTTTCGTATACCATCTGGGGCATGGGGCTAAGGATGTTCCAACTCTGGAGTTTGCTGTAGGCGCAAGGGAGCTTGCACACCGAAGGCCCCCAGAAGCCCCTAAAAAGGCCCCCACCTCTGTTCACGTTCATGCACAGGTGGTACAAGTGGGCGCGGACGGCCACGTGACCCACAAGACTCCCAGGATTACCATTGACATGCTCCACGCAGTTTGTGACCTGAAGGATGCAGGGATTGTGTTGCCACCCAAGTAGCCGAACTGACTCGTGCTGCAAGGACGTCAACGTGTGGCATCGACACGGGTGCTCACGCAAAGAAAGCAACAATGGTGCGCCGAGCTCACTTTGTCCTGAGCCCTGAACCCTGAAACCTAAACCTTTACACCCTAAACCCTATACCCTAAACGCTAAACGCTAAACCCTAAACCCTAGACCCTAAACCCTAAGCCGACCGCCGGCCTCATAACGCACCAAGGGCTGTGTCCTCTTCGATGGATCGACCACAGCCTGAGGCATCAGCTCGACCAGCCAGGTTTCCTCCCAGGATTTCGGAAGCCTCCCTAGGGTTCTAGGATGCTTTTAGGTACCCTTGAACAAAAAAAGATGGTACGACGAAGTATCAAAAAAAGAATTAGGCTTATAGATAGGTGCCCTTAAACAAGGTAACAACCCCAAAAGTATAGCCATGATGAAACCCCACTTCGAAGTAGCCGTTGACCTCCAGGCCTTGTCTCCTGGAACCCTTTTCTGGCTCCGGGCTTGCGGCTTAAGGCCCACCTTGCATCCCGGCTCCCTCTGGCCCAAAAAAGCCGCAACGTTGCAAGCCCAGCAGCTATGTTATGATAAGGGCCCACCCTTTTCTGAAATGGCTACTTTATAAGGGAACCTTGAACCAACAAAAAAAAGGGAAAAGGGTTCCACTGGGCTGCCAAGTGTATGATGCCCAAGCCCCCCGCGCCTCCCGCATGAAGGCTCCGAGCCCCAGCTCGTTGCCACTCGGGCCAATCATGATGTCGGCCTTGCTCCCGGGAGAACTGTTTTTGGGTTAAGGGTTTAGGGTTTAGGGTTTAGGGTTTAGGGGTTCGAACTTCACGCAATTCTCGCTGTGCTACTGCAGCACGGTGGAACTGACACCTTTGGACGCGCTACCGGGATCGACCCGTGTACCTGGACCGAAAGCTCTGAAAGCTACTGCTGGTCCCACGCTGAGCCGGAGCGTGCGGGGCGAGGGTGCTGAGCCTGAACGCTGTGTATCTGGCCTATAGTGGGCTCTTCAGCTAAGCTTCCCGACAACTCCCGGACTGATAGCTAATATTAAAGGGGCCGTAAGAATTAGAATTGGGTGTTGGGCTGATTATGGTAGAAGTATAAAGGAACCATAAGGGAACACCACTAGCAGCTATTCCGACCCCTACAGTAGACAGTTTAGGCTCAGTTGTAACCCTAAACCCTAAACCCTAAACCCTAAACCCTAAACCCTAAACCCTAAACCCTAAACCTAAACCCTGAGGAACAAGTGCACATTCTGCTTCCCCTGCCTGACGAGCGAGGGCGATCTGATCCAGCGCTGGCAGCTGCTGCCACGCCGACGTCCTTGCTCTAATTAGGGTTTAGGGTTTAGGGTTCAGGGTTTAGGGTTCAGGGTTTAGGGCTCAGGGTTTAGGGTTTAGGGTTCAGGGTTTAGGGTTTAAGGCCTAGGGTTTGGAAGGCGACTGGAAGCCCAAATAACCGATGCAGCTAAACCCCATGCGTTGCGCAGCCCTTCCAGAGGCTCACGAGGTTTCAGGGCAGGGGTGCGAGGTGGTTCGGGCCAGGGTCGCATGCTCAATTTTTCAAAGCCCCCATGGCCCACAATAAAGAAGAACTGACTAGACACAAGCAACGTGGCACGGGCCGGCCACGAGCTGACCCAACAGAAGAAGGACGCCTCTGCTGAACCAGACAAGGGTCCCATTCTCCCCTGCAACGACCACGCGCGGCACGAAGCCGTGGTCCAGGATGTCGGACTCAAGCTGATCGATGAGGCCCTGTGCACCGGTTAGGGGTTTCAGTCGCATCAGCAACTGGGGGGGGGATGGGGGGGGGCGGGGCAGCACAAAAGGGCTTGCAGTAAGAAGAAGGAAGCTTCAGAACGAAACGAGCCCACGACCCTTCGCAAAGGAGATGAAAACCAGGCACAACATGCCGGCTTTCATGCGGGCGTATATCCCTAAACCCTAAACCCTACCTAAACCCTAAACCCTAAACCCTAAACCCTAAACCCTAAACCATGGCGTATCAGATACAGAGATCTATTAAACACAACAAAGGATGCAGCAGGAATCGAAAGAGCCAGCGGAATGGCAAGACAGGTCTGTAACTGAAATTGCCAGCCGTGCCACGTCCAGGTCTGCCAGTCTCCGGGTGTTCACGCGCTGAATGAGCAGAATCCTTCGGACTCTCGACCCTCAAGCCACAAGAACTGCATACAAACCCCAAGAAAAAACAGAGATGGAACCGACCGTTTAGAGAGCGAGAGAGAGAGAGAGAGAGAGAGAGAGAGAGAGAGAGAGAGAGCGAGAGAGAGAGAGAGAGCGACAGAGAGAGAGGAGAGCAGAGAGAGAGAGAGAGAGACAGAGCGAGAGAGACAGAGAGAGAGAGAGAGAGCGGAGAGAGCAGAGAGAGCAAGTAAGCGACAGAGAGGGATTGAGAGAGGTAGGGGGGGTTGGGGGGCACCCGAAGTTGGCCGACATGGAAAGAGCTGGGCGGTCCGGATGTTTGTGGATTAGCAAGGCCCGAAGCAAACGCGAAGCCGGTTTAGCCTACTGCCGCTAAGCTGAGCTGACCTTAGCTGCACCCTGCACCCTGTCTAACGAAGCCCTATATCCTCAAAACAGGGGGCAGTGCACATCTCATCCTTTTCCCTGGCCCTCTTAGCCCACACTCCTTAGTTTCGTGGCAATCAGCCCGGTTTAGGGTTTAGGGTTTAGGGTGTAGGGTTTAGGGTTTAGGGTTTAGGGTTTAGGGTTTAGGGAACCCTGTTTGACCAAGGGGCCGCAGGACGGGGCCCGACCCCGCTGCGCCCGCAGAGCGTGGGCTTAAGCGAAGCCCCGGTCGAGGTCGGAACTGGTCCTTAAGGGTTCACGGGTTCACGGGTTTAGGGTTTAGGGGCTCACAGGGTGCATATCACAGGGCTCTCATATGTGTGCTCAAAGGGTTCATAGGGTTCACAGCGCTCCATAGGGTGCGCAGTGTAGGTTTTTGGGGTTGAAGGTTATAGGGATCCAAAGCCCGGCCGAGGAGAACTCGGTAGCTTGGACCCGAAACCCTCTAAACCCTGTAAACCCTGTAAACCCTATAAACCCTATGAACCCGATAAACCCTATAAACCCTGAACCCTAAATCCAGTTTAGGGTTGTGGCGGCCTATGGGGCTTTCGGCACTCGCGATCTCGAACTCGGATGCTCGGGAGCCATGCTCAGACCTAGTTGTTGAATATGGGCAGCTTCGGGTTCACGGGTCAGCCTCAGACGTATTTCTGTTGACCGCAGCGCGAAGGAGGGAAAGCCAACAAGTAGTCTACGCCAGAGCTACATGAACTCAGAGCTCGGAATTCCAAGGACGGTCCATCCTAGGGTTTCTTGCCACCTGCCTAGCAGCCTCGCAACCACACCTTGCAGGGATGCAAAATGTCCACGGGGTTAGGGTCTAGGGTTCAGGCATGGAACCTATTCCCAGCCCCCAAGCAAGTTCAGATTTGTTGGTTGAGGGCAAGCTCAGCCTCAGATTTACGAGGCCGTAGACAGGGTCCCAACAGTATACGCCGGTCGCACCCTCACAGCAGTCAGTCAGAGATGCAAAAAGCAAGCTGTGAAGGCCTTGCGCTCGCACTCTTTTCTTCTTCTGCCCATGGTTTCTTCTTCCTATGATTCTTCGTCGTCTCTTCTTCCCAAAGACATCTCCTGCTCATAACAGTAATTGCCCTGCGTTTTCTTGGTTTCAGGGTCTTCTCAGGCCTGGGGAGGGGGTGGGGGGGGGGGGGGGGGGGGAGGCAATACCGTCATTCACATGAGACGAACATCCTGCACAAGGATGTGGAACGAGAAACGCTGTCACGGGCGTTCGTGTTCTTGGTAAACATGCCTCCCAACACTGGTTGTCTTTGCTTACAGTGTTTGCTGCTTTGCACAAAATACTGTTCCAGGATGTTTGACGTTTCTGGAACAAGACATGCTGTTTGCGCGCGTTCATATCTTTGGTGAACATGCCCTGTCGCGAGCATTCACGCCTTTCGTGTACACAGTGCCAAAAGTTCTTGGGATGCCCCAAAAACCTCATTTCTTTTGGAAATCGTACTGACACCTAGGTATCTTGGCGCTTTTGACATTCCCGTGCAACAGGCGCACTCACCCCAACTAGTTGCGCACGCGCCTATTTCGACAAAGGTGTGCCTTATAAAAGTGCTCCGTGTAATGTAGGGGGGGGTGTTAATAATTATTAGATTTTTTTTTTGGGGGGGGGGGGGGGGGATTAGGCAGAAATTAAACAGGGGCAATAAGGGAATACCATTATAGTAATTCATCCGACCTCTAAATTAACGTCACGAAAGAATCACTCAGAGGTTGAAGGGTCTCGGAGGAACCCAAGACCGAGGAATAACAGGGCGCCCCTTTTTTGGCCTAAGGGCTTTTATACGGAACCTTAACCCCAAAAAGAAGGGGAATAAGGGCCGACCCTGGGTCCCTCAGACTTTGAGGGTCTCCGAAAAAAAACTCGAGGCTTGCAACCATGCGTCAGTCGACAAAGCTCGCTGGAGTGAAACGCTGGCACCCTTCCAGAACAGCATGGCCTCTCGTCTCAGAATGTTTGAGGGGGTTTTAGGGCTTCCTGGTTCAACCACTTTCGGCTTGCAGCATCTGAGCTTGCTTGCATGAAGGGGGGTTGGGACGGTTCTTGGTCCACTCTTATGAACTCCTATAACATCTGAACCCATATGAGGGCCTTGGCTGCACGGGTTCATGATTCATCAAAGTGCAACGGAGACTATCAGCTCTGGGGCCTCTCAGATGAACGTAATCAAGATTACGGTCTGTTTGGAGCCCGATTTCAGAAAATGAAGAATTGTTGGTTGCTTCGCATAATGGAGCTTTCGGAGATCACCCTCTCGTGAGGGTTTGAAGAAGACCCAGACCCAGCCCAAAACGCTGCCAGCAAAACAAACAAAACTACGTTCATCAGGGGGGTTTACGAACATGAGGGACCCCTAATATAGACACCCAAATAGTAGGATTCCCTTAGAATAAGGACCCCAAGAAGGCACCCCCTTATTCGTAAACCCCCATCAGGCCTCTTTATAGACTGCCACGCCCGGCCGATGCTCCAGGTGCTCCAGCGAGTGTGCGTGAAGCTGCGGGAAGCCCCATACCTGGGCGCCCGCACTAGGAAGCTGGGGCCTGCTCAAAAATCCCAGTAAGCTCCCCCGAAAAAGCATAGGTTTTCGGGTTTAGGGTTTAGGGTTTTAGGGTTTAGGGCTTAGGGTTTAGGGTTTATTGCCACCCAGGGTTTAGGGTTTAGTGTTTGGGGTTTGGGGTTTATGGTTTGTTCTGACAACAACAGCCCTGAAACATTGCGCGAACACACTGTGCCCTGGAGAGAGTGTAGTGCCTCCTCTAGATCGTTTAGGGTTTGTCTAGCTGCTGAGTATCTACCCCGGGCCAAACAAGGCCAACCTTCCAATGAGGGTCGGTAGGATTGTATATACCCCAAAAGGTGAAAGGTTAGATACTCAGCTACTAAGCGGTTAAAGGTTACCTACTCAGCTACCAATTGGTGCAAGCTTACCTACTCAGCTACTGAGTTTGAAGTTGCTTTTGGCTTTATAGGGCCGGAACCCACTTCTGACTAAAGTTTCGGGCGTGACTGGTGGTCACCAGCAGGCAAGCGCAACGGCATACGCAAGGGTCTCAACTAGGGTTATAGGGTTTAAGGCTTCGGATTCGGAGTTACGGTGCTTCCTTTGTTGGGTTGAGGGCTTAGGGTTTAGGGAGCCCGCCAGCCTCCAATAAGACATGCAACATAGGTAGTGCTGCGGGCTTGTGAATATGAACAAGCGGTCTGCTGCCGCTTCGCTCATGGGAAGCCTCACCCCTGCTGAATCCAAAGCCCACGCACTCCGGGTAAACAAGTTTCAGTGGAACTAAATACTACTACAGTGACTCAAGGAACTTGAGCTAACCTCTTGGAAAGTCCAGGGCACGGCCCGCGTGAAACACACCGACGTGCAGGACGCCCCCGCGTCCTGCACCAACCTGGCCAGACCAAGACAATAAGCCCTAAACTCTAAACCCTAAACCCTACGGTACTTTTAGCTCTCGCGCCAAACACTTGACAATAAATCTAAAAGCTGTAGGGGGTTGGGGTTATATAATACGTGTTGAACCTTACTCTTCTGCTTCCGGTCCCGTGCCGCCCCATGCGACGCCCTCAATCCTACAGTGTCCTACACACGAAGAAGTTCGTGGCTTAAGAATGGTAATATAGTTGTTATCTTTCAGTTTTTGGAGGGTTCTTAAGCAAATTGTAGATTCCGAGGATCGTGCGAATTTGGCGGCCGGGGCTTGGGTATGAAGTAGACAGCTTTAGGGCACCCACATCCCCCGACGTCCACACCTCAGAGATCCTGACCCTAAACCCTAAACCCTAAACCCTAAACCCTAAACCCTAAACCCTAAACCTCTCAAAAGCCTGAGTTGCGGAGCAGTGGCTGGCTCAAGAACAGCACCGGCTCGTCAGACAGATCCTGGAGCCTTCGATATTTGGGGGGCTTAAGGACACTAGGGGGTTTAGGGTTTAGGGGTTTTTTTTGCCACCCGCTTAGCTGACCTCTCGGACACTCTGCAGGGAACTGGCGGTACAGGGTTTAGGGCTTGGGGTTATTGAATTTAGGGTTTAGGGTTTTGGGGTTCGGGGTACCTTATTGGGGGTCCTTAGTCTAAGGGGATCCGACTCTTTGGGGTCTTTTTTGTTCAGGGCCCTTTCTTATCCTAAACCCTAAACCCTACACCCTCAACCCTAACTAACCCCCAATACCCCCAATTTGTTTCACTCCCGCAAAGCTGGCCGAAGGAAGGGAGTCGGGCCAAACCCCAAGCCTTTCACATGAGCCCATCGCCCGACAAGTGCCCGCCCTGCAGCCCCTGGAAGGCCCCTGAAGCCCTAACCCTAAACCCCAAGCAGGCCCTCTAAACCCTAAACCCTAAACCCTAAACCCCAAACCCTAAACCCTAAACCCCAAACTCTGGGCCAGGCAGCAACTTCAAAAAAAGCCCCGGCTTGGCTCGCGACTCGTAGTGGGAGGTGGCGAAGCGCGCCGGACCCAATCCTAAGGTCGTCATCTTTCACAAAAAGAGCTTTTAGGGTTTAGGGTTTAGCGTTTAGGGTTGAGGGTTTAGGGTTTAGGGTTTGGGGGGGGGGGGGGGGGTGGATTTACAGACATACCGAGCCCAGACCCAGGAACAATGAGCTGGCATCGGATCTCAATTCGGAAGGGGACGGGGTAGCCTTTTGGATAGAGGAGGTAGTAGGTGCAAGCGATTTGTCTAATAATCTTCAACCTACCAACCTGTGCAGTTGTCAGCCACTGAAAGACTTTAAACTGACATGATAGAGGAGCCTTCAGAAATCCATCCATGATCGATCACCGCCAACGTGACGTTGGATCGCGATCTCTGATCCTGGATCAGGTTTACACGCAGTTCGCACCGACAAGTACAAGTGCAAGTGCTCCAGATGAGGCAATCTTGAAAGCTTCACCTTGTGCCCGGTGTCAGGCCAATGCATTAGAGTTCAGGGGGCTTCCTGCAGAAGAGCCGACTGGCCAATTAGAGTCCTGGAAAATGGCCCTCACCAGCGCCAGGAACCACTGCACACCATTGATCAGGTGGCCCACCAGGTCCTTAGTTGCTGAGTTCACAAGCCCCACACAAAGTGTACACTTTCAGTTCTATAGGGGATTCTAGTCTCCCAAAAAGCCTAAAGGCGTACTCACTCAGCTACTCAGGGTCTGCGTGGGGCAGCATGACCAGGGTTCGCCGTTTGCATCCCGCGCGTTGCCCCGTCGCCTCGAAGCCGTATCTCAGCCTGGCTTCTGAGATCTGTAACCCTAAAAACCCTAAACCCTAAAGGCCCTAAACCCTAAACAACCCTAAACCCATCTAGGATACGGGTGGCTGAGTCCATCCAAGGAGCGCGCTCATGCAGGATCTCAGAAAGCCCCGCCGGATCTGCACATAGCCTTAGTTGCTGAGCTCATAAGCCCCCAAAAAAAGTGCACGCTTTGAGTTCTAAAAAGAGGATGAGTTCTATAGGGGATTCTAGTAGCCCCCAAAAAGTGTAAAGTGTACTCACTCAGGTACTCGGTAGCGGTTGGCTGAGGACAGTGCCAGGCCATGGCAGTTGAGCGTGGCTCCATGCTCCAGCTGCACCGGACACACCGCCAGCTCGGGCCCATCCCATTTCAGGGAGCTGCGTTCCGAGGCCCTCGCCCAGGCCGTGGAAAACCTCAGCTGCCCAGGGGTTCAGGGCTTAGGGTTTAGGGCTTAGGGTTTAGGGTAAAGAACTACAGTACACCACGCCAATCACCCAACCATGGACGCCACCAAAAACCCTGCCAATTGCCTGCCAAGGTACCAGCTACGGGCAAGCTTCTGAGAGTCGGCGCGTTCCTTTGCTCCTGCTCCTTCTGCCAGTGGGATGCGCTCGGCAGTGTCGTGTGCTATGGACACGAAGTGCCAGAGAGTTGCAGGTCGGAAGAACAATGTCCAGGAGTCATCACCTTCAGTTCAGGATGAGGCGACGGAATGACAGAGGTGTCCAAATTCCAGGACCGGGAAACCAAACCCTTTCAGGCCTCCAAACTGGATCAGCCCATCCGAGACCCAATGCCTTTCCTGCTACCCCTGAGGTACGGACAATCGGCTGAGATTGTGGCCATCACCGCCGCCAGGGTCATCCGTGCCATCGATCGACCAATCTCCAGAATGTTGGCATCCGCGGCCGCGCACAAGAGCTCCATCGCTATGCGCATGGCAAGGCAGCCAACCTGAAAAGCTGCCGCCAGAATTCGGGCGGGCTTCGGGTCTAGACGGTTTTACGGTTTGCCTTAAGAACCCACACGCTCTTATTATTATTACACCCCTTCGAGGATTCTTAGGTAACCTTCACAAAAAGTAGGTCTTGGGGTTCTCCAGCTAGGGCCAACCTGAAACACGTGAGGCATTGACGCCATCATTGAACTCTTTGCGGGTAGCTACAGGGTCCCATATTCCTTCATTGGGGACCCGTTATATACCCCCTGTAAAGCCCCCAAGGGCCCAGACTTCAGAATCATTCCCTAAACCCTACACCCTACACCCTACACCCTAAACCCTAAACCCTAAACCCTAAACCCTAAACCCGGAAGGTAAGGGACCACAATCAGGCACCATGTGGCTACCCTAAGGTGAACCCTTGAGTCGCAAGCTTCACCCACCAAGCTCTGGCCCTCACAGAAGAAATTTCGACCCAGGCTCTCAAACCCTGTAGGGCTTTTAAGGGCTTCTGAGGGGTGTATCTGAAACCCTGTAAAGCTTTCAGGGCCTGCAGGGCTTTCAGGAGTTTGTAGGGGTGTTATCTGAAACCCTGAGGGCTTTAAGGGGCGTTTGGGGGTTTATCTGAAACCCTGTAGGGCTTTCAAGGGTTGTTATGGGGGTGTATCTGAAACCCCGTAGGTCTTTAAGGGAAGGGGTGTTATTTGAAACCCTGTAGGAAACCCAGTAGGGTTTCGAGGGGTCTTTAGGTGCTTATTTGGGTTGGGCTTCTTTCGGCCGGGTGGCCGTGAGGGTCACGTGAAAGCTGCGCTCCAGTGCGTCAGGCCAGGCGGGCGGGGGTTCGCCTTGGGCGTTTTACTTCAGCACCCCAAAACCTATGTCTCTTCAGCACATGCCTGAGATTCTTATATAAAGGGTATACTGTCACAACGAATCTGCACAGGATGTAAAAAATGGGTTTGGGGAGTGTTTTGGGGGATAGATTCTGGCCTTGTTGGGTGGAGGTTGCTGGCCGAAGCCTGGCTCCAAAAAACTCTGAAGACTCTCGCATCACATGCTCTGCGCTTCGGCGCCCTTCCAGCAAATTGCAAGCGTGGCCCTTACAAGACCTCGGAAAAAAAAAAAAAAAAAAAAAAAACCAATCCCAAGTATGATCCTCTTAAAGTCAGTACGGGAATGTGTGACATGTCCGAAGGGCCTAATTGCCTGGATGAGGCTTTGGGGACCCAGGGCCGCTTCGTGAGGTGGCGGGTATGATTTCACCAGGGAGCGATCGCAGCCATATTCCAGATACCTTCAGCTCAACAGGGAAAGGAAAGCTTATGAGAACCCCCCCCCCCCCCCCAAAAAAAAAGACTATCTTCTCGTTTTCGGTGTTCTGAAGCAAAAACAGTAGAAGTTGAGAGGGCTTTATTTTCGCGTTTAGGGTTTAGGGGTCTCTTGGGCTGAAAAGAAAAAACCAGATCTTGCACGTCCGAAACCGAAAGAAGGAGCAAAAACTCAGCGGCGAGGTGCACCCCGCCATCCAGGGATGCCTGCGAAGTGCTCACGTAGATGGGAACAATGCGCTGCCCATCACTCACCTGCTCTCTTTTAGGGTTTAGGGTTTAGGGTTTAGGGTTCTGGGTTCTGACCACTTCGAGTGCGGGAAGGGATCTAAGCAGTTTCTCTTTTGACGCCTTAACCTGCTTTGTAACACCTGGACTAGGAGACTTGAGGAGAATACACACAAAAGCAATTCCTTGAACGCGACATGCGAGCAGGAAGGAAACCCCAAGCCCTATAGAACCCTAGAAGCCCTAAAACCCAAACGGCACGACTTGCGTGTAGCATCCGAATACGAATGTTGCAGGGTTGGGCCGGGCCACATGCACTTCGGTCCCGCCGTGCGCATAAAACGGCCAGTGCACTCCAGGCTCGCTCGGCCTCGCTGTGGGACTCGGGTATAGACTCGCTTTCTGAGTACTCCAGCAAAAATAGGGTTTAGGGTTTAGGGTTTAGGGTTTAGGGTTTAGGGTTTAGGGTTGACCCTACACCATGCTAGAGCCCTGGAGTGGGACCGCCAGAAGCACGGACATCATCGCGATGACCCAACCAAACGTCGAGGTGGATGGGGGTTGTGAAACACATGGAGCTGCTCAAGCGAATCTGGGGGTCAACCTCAATCCTGATCGACCCTCACAGCTCCACGAAAGACACTCCTCTAAATCCTAAATCCCCTTGTTGCTGCCGGGCTGTTCACGAGCCGGGAAGTTCCTAAACCCCAGAACCCGAAAAGCAGCCAGACAACCCTACTCATTTCGAGTTTCGGGCTCGAGTCTTCCCTCCACCCTGGGTATGCCAAACCCAAACCCAAGCCTACTGCATCTCACGGAAAAAGCCAAGAAGAAGCCTCAGTCCCAACCTGCGGCGAGCCACCTGCCTCCTAAACCTCCCCTAAACCCTAGACCCTATAGTCCCGAAACCCTAGAAACACTATAAACCCTAAACCCTATAGTCCCTTAACCCCAAACCCAAAACAGATTTCCCCCCAACACCCCTTTTGGCTTCAACACTCGCCTGGCCGAGACGATTCTGTGCAGCACCGTCAGGTAGTGGTCGAAGCTGTTTTCCACCTAGGAGCCATGCTAACCCTGAACCCTGAACCCTGAACCCTAAACCCTAAACCCTAAACCCTAAACCCTAAACCATACTCGGATACTTAAAGCCCAAAAAGCGAAAAATGTCCCAAGGGTCTACCTAGTATCAAAGCACCCCCTCTGGGAGTAGTTGAGGGGTTGGGTTAAGGGTCTTTGCAAGGGGGGAGTTACACTTGAACTACTTGTAGAGAAAGTTGTTGGGTGCTCTCTAGGCCCCTGTGCAACGCATGTTTTGCCTGGACGCCCAGTCGATGCGCGCATCAAAGCAGAGCTCAGTTGGGCAGAAGGGCTCGCAGGGCTCGAAGAAGCACCATTGCCCTGCACAGTTGTTGTCGCTCCCGAAGGTGTACGGCCGGATTCTGTAGGTGAACCTGATGGAAGCCCGGCAGTCTACTACGACTTGCTTCAGAACCCGCAAGACGTGAATGGTCCCTAAATTGCCCCTATAATCGGAAGAATTTCATCTGGGGGGGGGGGGGGGGGGGGGGGTGGGTCCTAAGCAAAATTAAGAGTCTTGAGGAGATGCGTCCGGGTCGATTCTTTACGGGCTGGCAAAATTTCGAGTTCCTTGCCCTCCCTGCGAGCACAACACACACCAAAATGGCCCTTTCTAAAGCAATCCCTAAACCCTAACCCCTAAACCCTAAACCCTAAACCCTAAACCCTAAACCCTAAACCTACCGTGACGGCTGAGGCTCCAGGTCCTCAACGCCGCTAACGTGCGCTGCCACGTGCGGTGGGAGAGCGTTGCCGTGCTGTAATGTTCGAGCAAGGCCGGCAGCTTCTCCTGTATCCTGGGCGTTTAGGGTATTTAGGGTTTAGGGTTTCGGGTTTACGGTTTAGGGTTTAGGGTTTAGGGTTTAGGGGCATCGGACTTGGGTGGCATGCGCCGACCCCTGAAAGCGTAACCCAAACCCACAACAGCCGCAGAGCTTCCTGAAACAGGATCGGGCCCCCCGTAAACGTGGAGCCCGCAACCCGCAACTTCAATCGGTAAAGGTCTTCATGGGTCTTCCTCATCCTTGTGTCGGGGAAGTCGCACTTGGACTCTCACCCTCACAGATTCACAAATAATCACAAAAAGTGAGACCTCTAAAGAGATGCAGGGGCACGCTCCAAGAAATAACCTGACTCGAATGCTTCCCACAGCACGGGTTCAGGGTTTAGCCTCGGAAACATGTGAGCAGCCCCCCCCCCCCCACTATATCATATACTCCAGGAACAACACCACCAGGAAGCCCTCCATCACGCAAAACTACCATGAAATGTCCTGATGGTTCTAGAATTACCCCCAGAGCCGACAACAGTCCTCAACCCTAAACCCTAAACTCTTGGGGAAGTCAAGCGTCTTGATGTGCAGGAAGAGCATCTCGACCACCTCCCTGGAAATCAGGATCAGGCCAGCAAGCACGTCGTCCTTTCGCTTCGAAGCAGGCTTCGACTCTCATCCTTATGAATACCCTACTTTGGAGTACATACTTAGGTATAAGTAGCTATAGTAGGAACCCAGAACCAAAAAAGGTATTAAAGTATAGTACTCCAAAGCCCAGTGATTTCTGTCCTTTTGTCACAATACTTGCGGAGGAGTTCAGCATAAGACACGAAAAGTCCATGAATCACCCCCTATCATTTTGGCCAAGATGGGCTGCATGCCTCCAGCTCCATCATGCGGCGACCCAGAAACATTGTTACCACCCAAACCCTTTGGTTGCACCCGTACCGGGGCCGATACCCTCTGAGACCCTCAACCCTCAACCCTAAACCCTCAACCCTAAACTCTCTCCTTGCTGCCCCTCAGCCGGTGAAGCTGCAGCTCAGCGAAGATGAGCCGTGCTGCCAGAACCAGCTGCGGACACAGGGGCAGGACATGCGGTGCCTTGGCGGCTCAGGGTTAGTGTTTAGGGTTTAGGGTTTAGGGTTTGGGGTTTGGGGTTTAGGGTTTAGAGTTTAGGGTTTAGGTTTAGGGCAGGGTTTCGGACTTCTGTCAAGCGATTCCGGGTACGCAACCCACACAGATGACGACCAGGGTTCCTTCCAACACCCGCCTTTCTAGGCAAGTCTACCTTCGTATGTTTGCCCGCCTTGAGTGGCCCTGGTCGTTTCTGTGCTATCTTGCTTCGGTATTGGGGCAAGGGTACCGTACCAACAGATGCGCACACACACACACACACACACAACAGGAAGCAACCCAAAAAGCATCAACATGAACCCTTCGTCGCTTGGTCAATTCCCCGAACCACCGCTAGCCGCTAGCAGTAGCTTCCAACTAGTGTCTGGGATGGATTTGGGGAGGGGGGGCAGGGACCTCCTGAGGCAGGATTTCCGGAGGGTCTACAGGGTCCATAAGGTTTATAGGGTCCATCGTAGGGTTTTCAGGGTTTACAGGCTTTAGCAGCGGGTTGAAAAAGGGTTTGTAGGATTGTGGGATCTACAGGGCTTTTTTATAATGTTTAAAGGGTTTATAGGGTTTTATGGGTTTAGGATACTTCCAAAAAACCTCTACATGGGTGGTTGTCAAAATTATGGTCCCTTGTTGGATCCCTATTATAATACGGCATCTAATTTTTAGGGTACCCCAAAAAGGATGATGGTGTTGGCAACCACCCACATCACAGCCGTTATAGCCCCGAGGGATTTCCCCCCCTTCGATCCGCCACCTTCGCGCTGATCAGGAAAGGCTTCAGGACTGGGTCCGCATCGATGCTGGCGGCCTCCTTCTGGTGAGGTTTCCGGGGGTTGCCTAGGTTTTTACGGGGCCTGTAGTAGAAGGATAGGGTTTCTTGGGCTGATGGTAGACTTGCAGGGCTTCTATAAGTTTATAGGGTTTCTGAACCTTCTGGGGTCTCAGAGGCTTCTAGGGTTCAATTAGGGCCACAAGCCTGTTGAAGCGTAAGCTCCCTTGTCCCTTAACCACCTGCAGAGTAAGGTGTTGCAGCCCCTTGAAGCCGTCAAAGTCCCACGCCCTGCAAGCCCTACTCCAGGAGTCACATGCCACCTCTTCTCGGCAACCCTAAAACCCGTTTTAAGCATGGAAAACCCCAAATCCCAAACCCTAAACCCGAAGCTTCGGGAGCTGCGCGTTGCTGCAGGGCTCAGGCTTGGTTGGGATCGCGCCTCAATCGGCTGACGCAGCCAGTCCTGATTCGTTTGAGTGCCAGGGGCCGGGGTTCTGCTTGTGACATCGCAACAACACCTCTCACACGAAGGCACAGAGGATTGACGCTGGATCGGTGCAGTGGGGTCGTGCTTCCTCACCAAGGAACTGTTCGAAACAAAGGCCCCTCATGAATCTGCTTCTGTGAGTCTTTTGGGGGCTTAAGGGCCCTCTTGGTTTCGGGCCCAGGGTTGAAGAGCCCCCTAGACCGTAAACCCGAAACCCTAAACCCTAAACCTTCCACCCTAACCCTAAACCCTAAACCCTAAACCCTCCACCCTACACCCTAAACCCCCAGCAGCCCCAAGCCCTAAGTCCTCAATCAGCCGGGCGTAGGGCGCCACGTTGAAGCCTCCGAGATCACACCAGGGATGCCTACCCGAGAGCAGCTCCTTGGTGGCCCAGTCTTCTAAGCAGGGCACCTTTTTTGGGATGTTCCCCCCTTATACTAACAGCTCCTATTCTAAGAAAGGTACCTTTTTGGGATGTTCCCCCCTTATACTAACAGCTCCTATTCTAAGAAAGGTACTTTTTTTGGGATGTTCCCCCCTTTGTACTAACAGCTCCTTAATTTGGGATGATGCTTGGGGGTATTCTAAGAAGGGTACTTTTTTGGGATGTTCCCCCCCTTGTACTAACAGCTCCTTAATTTGGGATTATACTAGGGGGGGTATTCTAAGAAGGGTACTTTTTCTGGGATGTTCTCCCCTTATACTAAACGCTCCTTAAATTGGGATTATACTAGGGGGGGGTATTAAAAGAAGGGTACTTTTTTGGGATGTTCCCCCCTTATACTAAGAGCTCCTCAATTTGGGATTCTACCAGGGGGGGGGGGGGGGGCGGGGCACTCTCATCCCCATTAAGGACTGCTAGCAATACAGAGGAACATCCCAAGGTGCCCTTACCCTTTCCTTCGTTGCTCACTTTAATAAGGGAACCCTGGAGAAAAAATGAGACAAAACGGGGTCCTTGTTGGGGGTCGAATTTTAAAAAAATTCTGTCATTTTAAGCCCTTTTTTGGGCTTTTTATGAGAACAAGAATCGGAAAAAACATAAAGCCAACAAGGATTCCAAGACTCGGGCTGCAGCTGGGTGATGTGCCGGACTTCTTCGCTGGCCTAGAGACTCACTTGGCCCACTTCTCTACCTTCTGGGTCCCTCGTAGGGTTGCTTCTTGGGATGTTCCCCCGCATACGAACAGTCCTTTTACTATTATTATTATTAGAATTATTATTATTACCCCCCCTATGCTCTTTTAAGGGGGCCCCCAAGATGTTGAGGGTACCGACGAGGCTCCTACGGCCCCTCGGCACCTTCCTGCTCCACTCGCGTACGCTTTCATGCAGGCCGGCACCCAGGACAGTGACAGTGATGCCCTGGCTCCAGAGCCACCATGAACCATGACACCACCGCATTCCGAAGCATCCAAATCCGATGAGCCGAAATGGCAAGCTGCGACGCGGGATTCTTGCCGTAACAAGCCAAAGGCAATGCAGAGAAGCACGGAACCATCGTCTCCTGCTCCAACTCGTTCCATCTTGCTCCATCTTGGGATGAGGAGAAGCACTCCGCCCGTCTTGAGCATGATGCTTGCATCCTTGCAGCTAAAACCCAAGGCCTTTGTGGGTTCTATAGCTGCCGGCTCAGGTCACTCGCGACGGCTGCACCTGGGGTTTGAAGCGAAACCGCAGAGCAAACTCGAGAGAGGGAGACTCCTGGGCTTAGTACTCTTGGGTTTCGGGTTTAGGGATAGAGCCTGAGCATGCTCCAACCCTGAGCTCTAAGCCGTGGGCTTTCCAACGGAAACACCTCTTGTCCTCGGATATCCGAGGACGTCTCAAGGTTTCTTTGCAACCAGCGAACCTACCCCGCAACGGCGCGGGCGGGTCGGGCCGGCCCCTGCGCGCGGTCGTCACCTCCACGTCATTGGATTTCTATAGGTGATCTAAGTTGTTCGGTTCTTGAGCTAGGCTTACTCGGGAGAGGGTTTCAGTCTTCTGCATCGATGAGGAGCAGCTTCTTAGTGGAGGACGCAGGATTGCTGGGCTCGGGACGCAACATATGCTCGCTACGGCTGCTCAGACGAGAGGTGGCCCCTCGACCGTGAGGAGCCCTATTCGGGAGCTGGTCAGGAGCTTATTCTAGTTCATGGTTGGGATAATATAAAAAACACATATGTTTATTCCTTATTGGGTTTAAGTACCCTTATACAAAAGTGTAAAATGGTACCAACTATGACTCTTATAGGGCCCGTAAGTTTTGGGTTGGGATTTCGTTTAGCATCTAGCGACCCCAAAGTTGTCCATCAGGAGCATTCTTTGTCCCGACGCCGTTGCCGCAGTGCGAAGCCCACCATGGCCGCCAGGAAGAGCAGCGCTTGAAAGAAGAACACCGAAGGCCCGCCGAAGGAGTCCTCCCGAAACCCTAAACCCTAAACCCTAAACCCTAAACCCTAAACCCTAAACCCTACACCCTAAACCCTAAACCCTAAACTGTCTGTGCCGCATGTTGTCGTCTCGGCTTTGGCAGCTGCTGTGTAGGCTTAGGTTCCGCGCGCAGTGTTCTGTGGAAGCATATTCGGGTGAAGGGGCTTAAAGGTTCTGATGTTCGGGTTTGCACTCTCAGAAAATGGAATTTCGACCGCCTAGCTGCCCAGTTGGCCAGATCACCCTAAACCCTAATTACACCCTTTTTTTTGAACCCAGACTCTGTACGGCAGCTGGCACCCTAAAACCTAAAACCTAAACCCTAAACCCTAAACCCTACTAAACCCTAACCCTAAACCCTAAACCCTAAACCCTAAACCCTAAACCCTAAACCCTAAACCCTAAACCCTAAACCCTAAACCCTAAGCAGCAGCACACCTACAAGAGCCCGTTTGCGCGCGAAGGAGGTGTCCCATCCCTGGCCTGACAGCTCCTGGAACCCTGCATCAGGCATCGACCCGAGGCTTTTTAGGGTTTAGGGTTTAGGGCTTAGGGTTTAGGGTTTAGGGTTTAGGGTTTAGGGTTTAGGGTTTAGGGGCTAGGGTTTGCATAGAGATTAGGGTTCAGGGTTCAGGGACCTATCCAAAGAATACGCAGTTGCAACTGCCCTGTTATTTGCTGAAGAACCTTAACCCCCCAGAAAATTAAGACCGCATGGGGATTATGTTTATTGATTTTGGTTTTTTTTGTTGTTGGTTGGGGGGGGGGTTCTTGAGCAAATGGTCGCTTTCAAGTCAGCTGCACAGAAAACTCGACCCCGGAGGCAGTCAGCTGTGCGAACCCGCTCCCGAGCCTAGAACAGGCATTGCCAAGTCCAAAAGCATCAACAAATCCCACCGTCTAAGCTTTAGGGAGCTTTCAAGCAGCTCGGAGAAACCCTTCCAAGAAACTCACAATTAGCAACCTTCTTCTGCTGAACTTCCCTTCAGGTGCTGCGCCCTCTCCCAACAGTCCATCAGCAGCCCGGCCAAGACTGGTGCGGCCACACGCAGGGCCGAGGAGCACACGTCAAGCCTGACTTCTGGAGCGCAAGTTTGGGGTTTAGGGTTTAGGGTTTAGGGTTTAGGGTTTAGGGTTTAGGGTCGAGGAGCTAGCTAATCCGAGCAAGTGTTTAATTGATACCCACATTTAAAGAAATTAGAGATGTTTTTCGTCGAGAAGCCCGCCTTACGGGGGTTTTCGTATGGGCCAGTACCACCACATTTAAAGAAAATGTCTTCGTGGGGGTTCCAAAATCTGTCGGCAGGCTCCTGGTTTTGCTGCTGAGCTGCGAAGCTACAGCACCTCAGGGATCTGCTCATTACATTGCCATGGTCTTATTATTGCGGCGCCGTGCCTTTCTTATTGCGGTGTGGGGGTGGGGGGGAGGGGGGGCCCACCAATTAAACAGATGCTCGGATAATTTTGGGACGAGGGCGTCGGAAGGGTACTTTGGGGCCCTACACATGTATTAGGCAGCTGAGGAGCCGTTGCTCCCTCCTAGAGCCCTTGGCTACTGACCGTCCCCGGCTCGAAGCCCAGGATCCTAGTGGTGCTTTCTGCGGATTGCGGGACATGCAGCGTGTTCTTCAGCTGTTGTGAGCCAAATGGGCAGATGATGTCACCCTGAATCCCGATGCTCCACCCCAGAAAAAGGCACAGAAATAGAACAGACGATTCAAAAACAAAACAAAAACAACAACATTAACCGCCGAGCAAGCAGCAGGCCCATTGCTTCTCCTTGGCGCTCCTCCGGGACCTGCTTGCCTTGATCGTAAGGGGCATCACTAACGTCACTCGAGGTCTTCTCGCGGCCCTCTTGGGACGTGACTAATGCAGGCCTAAACCCTAAACCCTAAACCCTAAACCCTAAACCCAAAAAAGGGGAGTGTGAAGAGCACACAACTGCGCGAGCTTCAAAGTAAGATGGGCCCGTGCTTATAAAGATCAGAAATCCAACGGTACCTGCTACGGCCATGGGTGACGAAAGCCTGCGGTAGGCAAAACGGGCACATGGTGAGCTCTGAAAACTCTGGTCCCTGTTTGGACCCCTGAACCTATGGAACTAGGTTCCCGAGCATGTTTGTTGCTAATAGGGTCTCTTGGTAGCCCTGTATCCATATCATAATAAGGGCACCCTTCTTTTGGTTGGTTACTTTACAAGGGAACCCGGAACAAAAAAACGGGTGAAGGGTAGCACTGGGCTCCCAAGGTTTAGGGTTTAGGGTTTAGGGTTTAGGGTTTAGGGTTTAGGGTTTAGGGCTTAGGGCTTAGGGCTTTCGGATCCCCAAGGTGCTGAGCAAGGCCGCAGGGAAGCTGCGCAGGACGGAGTTGGCAGCGGCAGCGAGCGGAGCCGAGGCCACGATCGCTTCGGGACTCTGCCTGGGTCTCGACTCTTTGCTTAAGAAATTGCAAACAGCAAAAGAGAATCATCCCTACTTGACCCTTGTATAAGAAGAATAGGCTTCAATCCCTATCTTTACCCTTATGTAAGAAAGAATATTCTTTGGCGGGGTTCTTAAGCAAACAGCAGGTCGAGGCCTGGCATGTGGGTGGCAAACGCAAGTTCGGAGCTCAGTTTGGGGCTTTGACGGGGGCAAGCGCGAGATTTGCCTCGGGGAAGGACGGGTGTACTTGCAGTGGTAGTCTGGAAGGATAGCGGATATGTAGCTGCAGCAGCTGCAAACGACAGGCATGCCAAGTGTGAACCCTCGCATCTTCCAATCAGCAGAGAACTTTGGCCCTCAGTCAGGCGGAAACGGGGCAACTGCTTTAATGTAGGCCGCGGCATTCCGACTTTCCCAGGCAATCTGCCACAAGAACCATGTCATGTGGTTTTTGAATACTGGGGTACCCTTTTGGGGGCTCCCTCTCGGGATATTCTATTTTTTGGGGGTATAAAAGCGCCCCTATTCTGGAAATGCCCATGTGTTTCCAGCGGCGTTCCAGCCAGGTGGCCCCAGAAAAATGGACATCGAGGCGACAGCAAAGCTGCCGCAACCCAGGTGCATCAATGTGGTGTCACCTGAGTACCACTTGGAGGTTCAATTCGGGGTATAGGTACGGTGATTATAGTCAGAACTGGTTACTGGTTATAACCTTATTTGGGGTACCACTTACAAGCACCCCTGAACCTTCCAGCAGAAGCTCGTCATGCAACATGAGGTAGAAGAGCAGGATGCTGCTCGACAGAGGTTCTCCATCCGAGCTATGGGCCACACACCCACGCCAAAGAGGCCCCCAGCAGCTCTTTCACGGAGCCATACCAGGATGGGCTTTTAGGCCTTGTAATCCCCATAGAATTGTAGGGTGTGGGACATGCCTTGTGGGACATGCCTTTGATGTTGATTCCCCGGACCTGCCTCCTCAAACCTTCCACTCCCTGCACTCTGAAATCGAGACTTGCGGCTCCACCCACGGCGGGCCAGCCCAGCGCAGAGGGTGCCGGCAAGCACCGCCTACAGATATAAGGGACTCTGGAGTGAAGGCTTCGTTTGCCACCCGGCCAGGCAGAGTAGCCACACATGGTACTTGGTAGCCCAGTAACCATTTGCTCCCTTTGTTGGGTTGCTTGCTTTATGAGGGAACCCAGAACAAGAAAGGGAAAAGGGTGCGACCTGGGCTACCAAGGGTAAAGTCGGGAACGAGAAAGGACTCTCGAAGCACTGGGCGCTCTGGGGAAGACTTGCACGCGCAGCGTACACAGCGAGAAGGCCCCCCACGACACAGAATTCACATAGGACTGTAGTCATACCGAAATCCGCCCTCACCGAAGTCATCAGTCCACCATCTTTGTCTCCCAAAGTCTAATCTCAAAGCACGCCTCGCTTAACAGCACTGCCCTGCCTGAACGGTTTCGTGACAGGATGGATGGAGTATAAGCTCTAGGGGGAACAAGGTTAGACCTTGTGTGGTCTCGAAAGTGTCGGTTCTCAACCTCGGCTTCTCCACGCAAGGGCCGTCCTCTCTGCGAACGCCTTGCCGGATTGCGCCGGTTGACCCCCAACCATCCATGGCTGCCAAGAGCACTCCAAGGTCTACGTTGAGTCTGGCCGCTTGAAGCTCATGCTTCTCCAGGTTGCTACGAGTGGCGCGGAGCGACATCTCGCAACTCCCCGAAGCACTTTGCCACCGGACTCTCATCAGTGCATCCAAAGCCCTGAAAGGCTTGTTTCAGCCCTCGGCCTTTACGGGCGAAAGGTCAACCTTTTTGAATATGTAGTGGTTCTACTGCCCAAGAAGACAAACAAGTAACCCCAAACCCTAAACCCTAAACCCCAAACCCTAACCCGTCCCCCTTGGCCTGGAAGATGGCAGAGCCAGAATTGACTTTGGCAATCCAAGGCTTGCCTTACAGAGGCTCCCTGAAGCTCTTCTTCAGGGTTTATTGTGTAGTAGGCTCTATCCGCAGCTTTTGCTTTGTCTACGGGGGTGAAAGGTCCACAGGACCT